CTTTATGCTTCGAAGGACCTCCATAGAAGAGCTTAATGGGGCTCCGTCTTCAGACAAGGTCATAGAAGCTCGATGATGATCAACGGGAATAAGATTTTGTTGCTGTAATCTTGCGGCGGGTATAGAAAATTGGTTTGGTTTTTGTGAGACGATTTCGTTTGGCACTTGTCCCTGACCAACGTATTCTGTGGTTGGTGTAACTAGAAGGACCTTAGAATTCCGGAAAGATTCACGGGGACTACGTGAACCGTGTGTAGCTCCAACCGTTCCATCATCTCGATTATTGACTTCTTCCAGAATCCCTGTTACAACATGATCGGAATCGCCTATTTCAGATCGTCTGGCAAATGATGTTTGTGTACTCATTCCTCCTGTCCATGCTTTCGACGTACGTTTATTGCTGGGATTAGCCACATTATTGTAATTGGTGGAGGTTGTATAGTATCCTTGATCGTGACGATTTTCATCATCATCATCATCCTCGTCGTCGTTTGTATTGTAATATCCACCCGCATTATAATAATATGGATTATCATTTTGTTGTACTTGTTTTAATTCGTGATGTTGAATGTTTTCGGAAAATCCATCACCCATGACCGATTCTTTTTCTCTGCGTCTTTTTCTAATTAAGAAGAAAATAATGGCAGCAATTGCTAATAGGCCAACTGCGGCGCCTACAGCAGCACCAACAATAGCGCCTGTGCTCATAGAACCGTTATTACGTGTATTGTTGTTGCCACCGGGAACATTGGTTGCCGGATTGGTGGTGTTTATTGTAGGTATAATATCTATCGGATATCCAGTGGTAGGTACACGTGTCCAACTCCATTTTAATACATCGAGTACATACATGTTTGAATCATTTGTTGCACTCACACCCCAACCTCCGTACATATAGATCTTTTTATTTGCATCATCATAAACAGATGAGTGACCTAGTATGTAAAAGTGATAAAAAGAGATCAGCAAAAAGAGAAAATATATAAGCATATGAAGACAAAAAAAAAAAGTGTGCAATTACCCATGCGTAAATTGGGACCTTGAGAAGCATTAGCGATATCCATTCTTTGCCAGGCAAGAGTGGGGTAATTTGTAGCGTTTAAAATCCAAACATCGCTATCAGCGGGCTGTGTGGTTCCGCCTCCATAAACAATCATAATATCATCTAGACAATTGGCGGTGTGAAGTCTTCTAGCACCTGGGGCTGCAGATCCTGCTACAGTAGTAATTCCTTGTACATCCCATACCTTTGTGTCTAAACGATATAAATTGACAGCCTATGGAAAGAAAAAATAATTATTTTTAAACAGTGTGGCTATATATAGTAAAATAAATAAAATTACATTCGTCACATCAGTTGTGCTTCCAGTGGAGGTTCCACCGAATGTAACCAAACAATTTGCTTTTTTCAAATAACATGTTGAATGTCCCGTTAAGCCTAAGCCATTTGAACCAGGCGACCATTGAAAACTATTGGTATCTATCAGCGACAAGGTATTTTGTACTGCATTTGAATTAGGGAAACCATTTGCATCTACTGATAAACCTCCATATGTATAGATTGTATTGTTGATTGTGGTCATTGAATAACCAACTGTTCTGGCAGACGCTTGATAATCTAAGTTACAAAAAAAAAAAGGGAAAACAATGAGGACATACGAAAAGAGGCAATATGGGTATGTAACACATTACTTGTGGTTGGAAAGCTCCATGACCAGCTATTTATATCTAATTTTTGTAAAATACCCGTCGCCAATCCCCCGCTTGTATTACTGACTAGTGCTGCAATCTGTCCTTGACTAGGTAAGTTGGTTGCTTTGAAATAGACTTGAGGTAGCATTGTAACCCCGCCTTGTATCTGCGTGGTTGGATTATACCATGAACCGTTACGAATATCCCAAACCCATAGTCCAGTCGATCCTAGCAGTTGTGATGCCATACTGGCAGTTATATCTTCGGAACCCCCATAAACAATCACATAAGGATATTCATATACTGTTTGTTGTCATTTTTATTTTTATTTATTTTTGCCCAAAATAATAAATAATAAGAACAATAAATTTATTAATAGTTTTCCGTACCTGAAGCATGTCCTGCTTTCCATGGTACATTGGTTTGAATTGAGCCAATGCCAACATTTGATTGTGCATGTATTACTGTCAAAGAAGCAACGAATAATACTATCACACTTTTTATTCGAGGCATTATTTTATTACAAATTTTAAGAATGAAGAGAGAGAAAGAAAAGAGAAAAATATAAATATAAAAAAAGAGCTTATTTCAATTCAACAGAAGGGGGTGCGTGAATGTGCGGGCAGGTGGGATAGTGTGGGCTGCGAGCAAAGGTTTTGGAAGGGACCGCGCTATTTTTGTAAGTCCGCTATACAGCTTTAAATTACCAATGGAACTTGTCGTTGCGCATGAGCTAAAGCAGAAAAAGGACTTACATTATCCCATAAGTACCGTTAACTATTTGGGGACTAAATTATTGGCATAAAAATTTACAGGAAATATGTTCTAGTAAACAACAAAGCTATTGCTTCTATTAACGCTTACCAAAAGTGGTTTTATCTGATAAAATAATATTATTTACACATGTTAAGGGAATGCATGTAAAGTATAGACTCTATGATGTAATAAAATTTTAGGGTGAGCTCAATTCGTTTAATACCACAAGCTACCGATAGAGTATTGAGGATTGTACGGAACTACTACTTAATTTAATAATAAATAATATAAAGTGTATATTGTATCTACGCTATTTTCAAATTATTCGTGCAGAGCAGGGGGGAAATCGTTGAAGTTCACAAAAGGATTTTGATCATGAATAGAAGAAAAATTAGCTTAATAATAATTGAACGAAATAAAAGTAAAGTATTTTTATAATCCATACATTCATTACATATATGCATTCAAGGGAAATCATCGGATGTTAAAAAAAAAAGAGATATATAGACGATCTTCTCCTTTCGACTAAACTTCTTTTTCTTTCAGTTTTTGATTCTCTTCGACTTTTTGGGTAAGTTGTGAATGTTATTTTAGAAACAAACTTTCTTATACTACCGTTATATAGGTTATATAGTGTATCATAGATGTGGCATCTCTCCCGACAAAAGACGGGATTATCGCAGTAAAATCGTCATTTACTGGCATCTGTTGGAAGCAGTCATTTTTGACAAGATTACACAATTTGTTAGAGTTGTTCATACTACTGCAAAGCATGGATATTATTTTTTTCAAGTTTATATTCCTCAATGAATCGCAAGCAGACCCTCAATGTGACCTCAAAGAATATATCAATAAAGAATATTTTGCTGGAGTATGGCTTTCTCTAGTAGGCTATACACAGGGAAATGATCGTGCAGAAAAAGTTATACAAGTATCGTAATTATATTAGCCGCTACTTACCAATCTATCTGAATATCACAAACCATCAAAGTCTCAGACTAAAGTATGCTCAGCAGTTTTCTCTGATCGAAGGAAAAAAAATATATATTTGTCGTATATCAATAACATCAGCATGAGATTTGGTCAACATTTTAGACATGCAATCAATATTTTACTGAACGTCAAGCAAGGAAGGGTGGAAATGAAGCAATTTATTCTAGAACAAGGCGTCGACCCCAAAAACATTGAAGATCTTATTTTTCAAGATGCAACTCAGACCGCAAAAAATCAACATACGTCCTACAAACATGGCTTTACTGCCACAAAATTCACGGGTAGAAATAAATGCATAAAACGCGTTAAAGCCTGTTTCGAGTTCGTATGACTCATCGTATTCTTTTAGAAAACACAGTATCTATTATGATGTAAAAGCGCAACCTGAAAATCACTTTATGGCCTTTGTTCAACTAGCTCGCCTACTCGAAACATTAGGCTTATCCCCTTTTCGTTACTTCCCTCTCCGTCGTTCATGGTCACCTGGTTAAGTACAAATTGATTGTAAGATTATTTGTCAAAACATTCTAAATATCAAATGGTCAGGTAATATTGATAAGCTGGATTACTGGAAGCAAGTGGTTGACCTAAATGCGAAACCTTTTAAAGCTCAAGAAGAGAACAAGCTCCTTAGGATTTGTGGTACCATTCAGACAGACGGTGTTGTTGTTACAGTTTTTAAGAAAAGATTAGACAAGCAGATGAGAAATTCGAGTATATCAGTGATTTAAGCGCTCAAGAACATAAAGCTATGAATGGTCGAGTGTTGCTATTGATCCCGGAAGAAGAGACCTTTTGTTTTGTGCCGATGAAAAATCTACTGTGGAAATCCCTACTAAGTTTCGATATACTAAGCAGGACCAGACAATCCAAAACGTATCGTAATATTCTACAAGCAATGAAGTTGAACAATCCCGCTGTTTATCAAGCCGAGAATATTCTTGCGTAAAACCAAAGCATCTCACTGGAAATCGAGGGTTACCGTTGTTTTCTCGAACGTCCAGGCCAGAATTACGCTGTCCTCGACAATTTCAATGGGTACAAAGGAAGAAAATAAGAAAGTTTATGCTAATTGGAAATATGAAGAAAACATTTATAGATGTTGACTTTTATTTCTATTTTTTACAACAAAATTGTATCATATATAAAGGGACAAAGTAATTTTTTATTAGTATATACGTATTGTGAAGAACGAAAGAGAAAGAAACTTTTGTCAACTTTTGCCAGCACTTCACAGTAATAAAAAAAAATGCGACCATATAATGTAGTTTTATCGTACCATGAAACTGTTCAAAAAACATTTTGAATTGAAGATTAAAACTTACTTCTCCAAATTATGTCTAATAATAATATATACATAAACTTAGCAGGTGTCTGTTGAATAACCGGCTATTAGATATGTAAAGCTAACTGAAACATAAACTAACATGATGGCTCTTTTAGAGGCGACAAACCCGATTATGTAACTATTTTTAATGATATTATCAGGACATGTTAAAAGTATTATTCCGAGTAATACAACAGCATAAACAATGATTATACAGGAATATTGTCTCGATAGTAATACCAAATATATAACAATAGTTAAGACAAATTTCCTTAAAATAAACTAAGTCTGCTTGTAGAAAGCATAAAACTACCAACCATTATAACCATGACAAGATCGATTTTTAGCAATAGAAATTTTTTGGGGGTCCTTCTGTAGTTTCTGGTATTCTTATGTAGATCCCTACCTTTTACGTATATATTCCTATAAAAAACTCACTTCGAAACGGAAAGTTCGTTCTGTGAAGGTAACAGTAATTTAAGAGACGAGAAAGGGTAGGTGAATTTCGCCTTTTAAGCAATAACGAATTCAGTACTTCTAAGTAACAACACTTGTTTTTTGTAAAACAAAATGTTCTGACTACTTTTACTCGTGTTTGCAATACTTGCACGAATAAAAGCAATATCTCTCTATCCACGCTCTTGTTCCAATTGTCAAACCTTGCTATAGAATAGAAGTACCGATGTCGCTAATAACATGTGGGACATCTGTCAACCTATTTGGTCATATTTTGTAAACAGCTAACTCAACAATAACAACTTTATTTTTCGAATATGGTGTGCCTTAGCACTAAAGAGTTGGGTAAGTCATAAGAAACAAACGGATGCTTAATATAATTACAAAAAACATGTAGTTAATCTTTGCGGTTTTTCGATCCTCTACGTTCCTCCTCTTCCGCTAAATAAGCTTCCATCTTTAATTTTGCTGTCATTCGCTTTGTTTCTGCATTCAAATAAGCTCTTTTTCTAATTATCTTGTGGTACACTTCGGGATATTTTTCAATGTACTCCTCCTTCAATCTTTTGTGTTCATCCTGATATTTCTTTTTTTCCTCCTATCATGTATTTAAGTTAGACTTCCAATGAAGCTTAATGTATCGATATATGCTAATAACGTACTTTTGGTAATTCCTTCCATTCTTTGGCCAGTAATCTCGTGACTTCGACTAGTGGCTGGCCTTTATATTTTTCCAAATGGGCGTTCTTAAAAAGAAAAAATGAATTTGCTGGTATTTTGGGTATAGTCGGCTCCTTTCTGACTAAATTTGCTTTCATACGTGCATTTTCGATAAACGCAGCTTTTGTTTCCTGTATACAAACTGCTATGTAAATAATATGGGGGTGGGGCTATCCTTTTTAAAGTTAACTACTTACTGGATCCATTTCATCATAACCCTTTTTAACAAGTGTGCTCAATTGTCTGCCGTCAATATCGGGATTTAATTCTCTAAGTCTGGCACGATGTTGTTGGTTGTATAAGATATAGGGATTGTAACGATTGGTAGGTTTTGGAACGTAATCCATCTTATTGAAACTACCTGTTGGCATATCTCTTGGTACATGTTCTTTCTTTCTTTTATCCGAGACAGCTTGACCTGATTTATAAAAGCCTGCCTGCCTCTTTTTGGCCGCTCTCTTCTTTTTAGGAGGAAGAAGCTCATCATCTGTAATATCTGCATCTGATAATAACGTCTCTGTTGTTATAGGTTCTACAAATTCGTCACTGTCACTGTCATCAAATAAATTATCTGAAAAGGCATCATCATCACTATCATCATTGTCTTTCAACTTTCTTTTAGAATCCCTTTTTATGCTACTAGTAAGTGGCTCATCCTTATTTTGAGAAGTAGAATGATCTTCACCCTCTGAATCAGACCAATTGAAGCTATCAGGTACAGATTTTTTTGCAAGTACTCTTTCTTTCGCTTTTCTAGGAGGGTTTATGGCTTTTTTTTCATTTGTGGAGAGTGGTAATGATGTTGTTTCTTCCTCTGAATCCGATCCAAACAACTTTCCAATGGGACGTACGACTTCCTCTGAACGTTTTTTGTCTTCGGAATCGATGTTTTTGATAGTTGATATATGATTGCTTGAAGTACTGGGTGTTTCGTCTTCTGAGTCAGATAGGACGAGAGCAGACCTCTGTTTGTTAAAGAACGAAGTTATTTTGGGTGAACTAGAAGGTTTTGTTCGAGCTTCGCTTTTATCGTCATCGTCAGATAAGCCCAACATGAATTCGTGTTTTTTTGGCGTCAATAGTGGTTCCTCTGATATGGAAGATGCTTTCTTTGGTGTTGATGGTACTGAGGATACTTTTGTTGAGATGAGAGGTGATTTTATTGCTGTTGAGGGCAATTCGTTTGTTGCTGTTGAAGGTAATTCGTTTGTTGTCGATGAATCTTCACTTGATGCAGACGGGCTATAAATTGAAAAGCAATTTTTGCAACTGATTTATAAAGTAAATAGATGACATCAGTGATTAGATTTGTCATTACTATCCCTCCTCCCCCTTTGAACTGGATTTACCGTACATTACAATACCAGATTTTGTTGCTCGTTCTGATTCATGTTCGCATTTAGGGCATGTTGACTTAAACATGGCTTATACAGTGCGGCCAGCTAAATTGTGTCCGTTGTGAAAATTGAAAAAAAAAAAAAAAGACAAAAAAATTCATCGCGCGCGCAACGCGTTTTTTTTTTTTTTTTTTTTTTTTTTTTTGCCCCGCCGGATTTATATACAATCGGTAAAATGATTAAGAACCAATGAAATGCATTTGACATTTTGCAAGAAACTGAAATTGCGACATGACATCACATTTGGCTCATTCAGCAGCCAAAAAGAAACACTGCCCAAATATAGATAACTGCGTCGCCCCTCATAAATATCTGTTTGGTTAATTTTGAAATATATTTTCTTTCTTTTTTCTTCTCTTCTTCTCTTCACACATATATTAAAAAAAAAAATGTTTTTTGAAGCAACTTATGTACCCTCCCCACCTTTATCCATTGCCAGTATAGGTAGAAAGAAAGAAAAGTTGAAATTGCTTGTAAAGATATCTTATTGTTTTCGCTTGTAGATGATGACGCTGAGACACATGTTGAAGTACCAGAGCCCGATGTTGAACCTGCTTCAGATAAACCAGTTGATCACTTAATCTTTGTTATTCATGTAAGTCAAAAGCAATAAAAGTCCTTTGAGTGATGGAATTAACCTAGTAGATATATATATATATATATATATAAAATCAATTTTATGATAGGGAATTGGACAGGTAATGACATTTTTTTTTCAAGGTCAGAAAGTCATACAACTAACATGTGAAGATGTATTTGTAGCAAACTGAACAATATGGTCATTTTTACGAACACAGTAAGTGATACACAACACAAACAGAAATGTTCTGCATATTGATTTTTAACGCCCGGCAATTTTATTTTATTTTTTAGTTGAGAACTTACAAGAAACGACCCGTCAAGTATTACAAGCCAAGGTCCCTGATCATAATGTGCGTATTGAACTTATACCCATTGAATGGCATCGACATATTCATGAACAAGTCGATCCCATCATTAACAAAATTACCTTAAAATCGATACCCACTGTCCGACTGATTGAAAATGATTACCTTGCGGATGTCCTGTTCTATTTTTCCAAGGACAGAGGACAAAATATTGTGGATAATGTCACTGGTTTATTTAACACTTCCTATCACAACTTTAAGGAAAAACATCCCAGCTTTGATGGTAAAATCATCATTCTAGGCTATTCTTTAGGAGGAGTTATTGTCTGGGATATTTTATCCCATCAACGATCGCCTGCCAACGACGAGGAATTAGCCATGTACAAGAAATTGGATATAAACTTTTCCGCATTGGATTTCAAGCCGGATTTCTTTTATGGCTTAGGATCTCCTTTAGGTGCTGTTTTAACCTTTCGAGGTCAGGATCCCGTGCTTTATCATCCAGATAACGATATTCAGTTTGAAAATGTGTTTCATCCATTCGACCCTATCGTAAGTCTTTTTTTTTCTTGTACATGCTTATCTTTTGTTTGTTCTCATACAGCTTGATACTAATGTATACAACAGGGTTACCGCTTTGAGCCCTTGTTTAATGACTACTTTACAGATAAACCTGCAGTTCTGATTGAACGATCTGCACCGTTCGGTCCTTCCTTTTCATTCCCTTCCATGCCCTCTTTTCCTCTTTCGGCAGGCTTCATGTCGTTCTTTTCTTGGAAAGGTGAAGACAAGGCGGCTAAAACCATCTTTAATGCCACATCAGAGGCAGCCAAAGCCAATATACCGGAGAATGAAAATACGCAGGAGGAGACAGAGCCCACCTCTGGTACAAATGAACGAGGGTTAAGCTCACCGATCGAACAACAAACGGGTTTCATGTCATCTCTCATGGGTTACTTTTCAAAGGGTGGTGGTACAAAGCAAAAGCAAGATAGTCAAGTAGATGGTGGTACAAAAGATGATATGGGTATTATTACTTGGGATCCGCTAAGAGAGCAAACAAGAGAACAATTATTGGCTTTAAGAGATGATCTAGACCGTACATTAAATACAACATCGATGGATAATTTGACGAGAAATAAGCGACCTCCTATGCGTATTCGAAGCAAGACATTTAATGTAACGGAAGAAAATAGTTTATATTCGTCTTCATTGGAACAAAATTCAGATGGCTCTGTGCTCGATAAAACAGTGACAAGTCGTACAAGTAGCACCAGTAGTATCAAAGAAGCTACGGAACGCATTCCACTTCGTAAGACAATGACAGAAAATCCCAAACGTCAACATTTAGTAGAAGTGCTTGGTATTGACGGTGTACGAGTTGATTCATTTGAAAGAGCAAGAGTGAATTTCGACAAACATGAAGAAAAGGAGAGCAACCCGTCCGAAGAAAAGAAAGATGATGATTTGAATGGCAGTGGTGGAGATAACCTTTGGTTGGATTTAAATAATGAATTGAATAAACCAGGACCAGCCATTACAAGTCCAGGTGAATCTCGGGCCGATGTGGCACAAGATGCAACAATTCCAAAAGAAAGCAACAATAAAGAAAAGGAGAATTTGGAGCAGGAAGAAATCAATAAACTTCCTGGCCAATGTCGCATGGATTATGTCTTGCAGCCCGATAGTGTCATGTCTATGATTGCCAATGAATATCTCATTGGTTTACGTGCTCACTTCTCTTACTGGACAAATAAAGATCTTTTGTGGCATATGTTGCGTCGAATTGAAAATCTGAAAGTACCATCGGACGAAATTAAAAATCCTTCTGTTTCAACAAGTGATAAAACTGCTGCTGTCGTTAGTATTGATGAAAGAAACATACAAAAGAAGCAAAAACCAGTAAAAAAGTAAAAGAAAAGTATATATTCGTTTTATTATATATGTATATGAGTTATGTATAAATTGATAAAGGGAAAATGGAGATGGGGTGAAGCATTTTTAAGAAGGGTAATACCACGATGATGGATTACTAGTCAACATGTGTACATCTTTAATAAATAGTTAGTCTCCCTTTGTCTGCATGATATATATATTTATATATATAAGCTTACCTTGTGGTTCGGATGAGCTAATCATCATATCCTCCATGGCAAAATTAAAAATATTATCGCATGAATTTAAAGAAGAACAAGAAGTAGCTGATGTTGTATTGGAGCTACTATTAGAAGTAGTAGAACTCGAAGGTTGTATATTTACAGGGAACCCTAGATTGCTCACAAGAGAGGATGACCGACTACTGGATGCAGGTGATGTGTGATTATCCATCAATTTATCAGGAAACATCAAATGACTTGAAGGGGCACCTGTGAAAAGATTTTGCATGTGTTGGTTATGATCTGTAGTGTTTATATTGTATTCGTTTGCTTCTGGATGATGTTGATCAAATAAAGTCCAGTCCATGCCATGGCCAGGTGGTGCATTGTCATAGGAACTCATGTCTGTATTGTTATCAAGCATCATACCTTGAAAGTAGAATGAGGATGGATACATATGCTTATTTTCATTGGTAATTGTCTTGTTGGAAGAATTTGACAAGGATCGATTCAGTTGCTGTTTGTTGCCATTCTTCTTGTTAGACTTGGATACCTTTTTATCCTGTTTAGGTGAGGCTTGGTGTGTAGCGGACGCCGCCAAAGTTGATGTAGTTGTACCACTCGTATTTGCAGCAGTAGTAGTATTGCTAGTAGCAGAAGATGTTGCTGCTGCTGCCGCTGTTGCTGCTGCTGCTTGCGCCGCTGCTCTTTTACCTCTTGATATACGTTGTTCTCCTCGAAGACGTAATTGAGCCAAGATGGATCTGGAATCTTGCACTTCAATTTCAGTTTTAATCATTTTCGAATTTAATTCGTTGGCAGTTTCGTCATCAAAGTTAGAAGGGGAGACAATGGAATGCACCATGGAGCGTTGGTTTTCAAGGTCAGTCTCGATACGACGTATACGAGCCTCCAGATGAGATAGGTTATCAATGAAAGGGTCGACATTAGTAGGCTGTGTCGTACGAGATCTTCTAGAGCTTGGATAGGCACAGAGTACACCAGTAGTCAAACATCTTGTACAGTTTGGATGAGCACCATCGCATCGAACCTGCGTTTGTTTTATAGTGAGTTAAAGTTTATCAGATAATTTTCTTTTTTGTTTGTTATGTACCTTTTTGTGATGACATCTGAAACAAGCAATAGGTGCTCTTGGTCGTTTTGTGGAAGAACGAATACGAGTATTGTCCTTGTCATTATTTGGTTTCTTTGCTATAGCAGTAGACATATTTTGCTGTATATATAAGTAAAAAACTAAAAAAAAGGAGTGTGTATGGGGGGTGGAGGAGAAAGGGAGTGGAAAAGAAGTATAAAGAGAAGTATGAAAAAATGAAAAATTGAAATAATTTTTATATATACAAGGAATCTTTAATTAGTACCAGCAAACAGCAACAAATGACACTTTTTATCAATTCAGGGAATCGCTATAATATAAAAAAAAAAGGATGGATCATCTGAAATTGATAAAAATACAAGTTGGTTGAAACATCAACTTGTATTAAAATAACATTTATTCTAATCGGTATAACGTGGTAAATTATTACATTTACACCTGCAAGAATTCTAAGAAAAAGAGTCCTCCTTCTCATCATCATAAGAATCTAGACTTGTATTTGGTATTTTACTTTTTGATAGTTAGCATGAATCATCTCTTTTTTAGAATGTCAACGTTTTTTGCATGAAAACTTTTTGTTGTTTACATAGTGTACAAATGTTTACCTCCCTGATTGGCTGTCATTTCAATTTAGGATCGATATTTTCGTGTCTACTTTTTATCCAATGCACACGCATTTCTGATCTTCTGGTGTCAATGTCTGTCATAGTTTGGCACATGATGCTAGGGAGCTCTTCCTTTTTTATAAGTGCATGATAATGCATGTTGTAATCATATCATTGAGTGTTTCATCTTTTTTAGCTTTTTTTTTCTTATTCATAGTTACTGCGCAAAATAAAGTAGCATGGTTTTTATTTATTTATTTGAAAATTGTACAAAGGAGAATTTAAGAGGCTAAGCTAATTTTTTGGTTTTAATAATTAAGTACAAGCACAACCATTACTACTGGTTTTTGCATGATTTTGTTCGATCTTTATTTTGGCATGACGTGGCTGTTCTAAAACAACGTGCTTGGCTGATAAAAAAATAAATATTAGGGTCAAATACCCATAAATGTGTTTGTTATTTTTACCTATTTCAGTAAACACCTGACCCACATTCGTGCCTAATTTTGCACTGGTTTCGATATATAGTAAATTATTGTCCGCAGCGTAGTCTTGTGCTTCTTGTAGTGTAACTTGTCTATCTTGTACGTCTGTCTTATTTCCAACCAATGCAATTAATAGCTTTGCATTTCCCTGACGCTGTAATTCATTTACCCAATATTGAGCTTTTTCAAATGTTGTCTATCAATAGTAATACGAGTAAAATAAAAGAGGTTGTCAGTTTAGATATTAGGCGAATGGTGTCATGACTACCTACATATTTTGTAACATCATATACAACCATGGCCGCCAAGGCATTTCTATAATACATGGGAGCAAGTGAATGGAATCTTTCTTGTCCTGCTGTATCCCAAATCTCAAATTTGATGTCTCTACTGCCAGTTGAACACACTCTTGCCAAGAAGGCGGCTTGAAGAGAAAAAAAGTTAAGTATTGGGGTGTACACAAGAAATTTAAGTTGCTATATTTGTATTACCTCCTATCGTTGCTTCTTTTCCTTCAATAAATGTGTCTGTGGCATATCGAGCAACAATACTGGATTTACCAACCGAGGATTCACCTATAAGGGGTATTTTTATTTAATGGTTTTATTCCGAATGTCACACACTGTGTGCGAATTTCAATATTTTTTTTTTCATGTACCTAAAAGCACTAGTTTCACTGAAGGTATTTGACTTGTCATGGATTGATCCATTAATAAAAGGAGAGAGAGAAAATGAGAAAGTGAAAAAAAAAGAAAAAGGTTAAAAAGACGTGTGATGTTCTCCTGAAAGTTAGACAAAAAAAAAACCGTGGGGACTGTGACCGTACTTTAGTTGCATGATAAAAACCTGTTTTTCCTTTTCTTATTCTTCTCCACATTTTGAACTTTGTATTTGAAAAAAATTAAAAAATGGGATTTATCACTGCAGAAATGAACTTGAACGGTACTCTTGAAAAGTACAATATTATTCCAGATGGTAAATTTATATATCACGTCGCATCCGTTCTCATCAAATATTGATTACTCTCTCTCTCTCTCTTTAAAGTTTTACCAAGTAAAGTATCTCCTTCTACTTTATTGCAAGTGGATTACGGACCAAAGGATGTAGCCCTCGGTAATGAATTAACACCCCAAGATACAACCCAGCAACCGAGCATTTTTTTTGTTGCTCCTGATGAATCAGCCTATTATACTTTGGTCATGGTGAGATTTTATTATTCACGCATGACGTAGTTTTTCGTAGTTACTGATAAAAAGCGTATTTTAGACTGATCCTGATGCACCCTCCGTACAAGACAAGAAGTTTGGCCCTTGGCGTCATTGGGTTGTTGTTAACATCTCAGGTAAGTTTCTTATTGTATACACTTTGTAAGGTTGAAAGAAAACCAATACATGTCTACTGTAGGCTCGGATTTAGAGACAGTCAAGAAGGCAGAGAATCAGCACACGCCTTATATTGGACCTGGACCCGGAGAAAACACAGGAACACATCGTTATGTATTTTTGCTCTATCAACAAAAGGCCGGGAAACAAGACTTTAAGCCCATGGAGCATGAAGAAAAAGCTCATCGTCGCCTCTTTCAATTACGAGAATTTGAAGCGGAGAATCAATTGGAATTAGTCACTGCTAACTTCTTTACTTGCCCAACCTAAAAATGATACTTTCATGGAATAAAAACAGTGTGCATGTATGCTTCTTTCTTATTAAAGAGATTTTATATGTGTATGATAAATAATGTTATGTATTTATTTTTTGGTGTTTTTATTTGCGATGGTTAAAAAAAGACACGGATAGAGTGCCACATAAGGTACAAATATAAGGCATGGAATCCATCAATAATGGTCCATTGACGCAGTCTAACAGATAGATTATCGTATCTATAAGAACTATATCAGATGTTTGTTCATTTAAGCGCAAATCAAAGGAGATTTCTTCATCAATGATTGTGATCTCAACCAGCAATTTCAAAGAGATTTTTACCCGATCTATAATTATAAAAATTCTTCGTAATTTTTTTCCAATTTTTTATGTTAAATTGCTCCAAGTGAAATCTTTTCTTTAGGGAAATGCGTCTTTAATGCGCAAATGGCTTAGCTTTATCTTATCTTTTTTATATATTAGCGAATTAAACGATGCATGTAAACAAATGGTGCAGTAATGATGTCGACATTGGTGGTGGTGATCGAGCCTTATTATTTAGTTAGTACAGGTCTTTTCTTTAAAGAGTTCGATCTAGTGAGAGTCTTCTGACCCCTTTTTATTCTATTTACAAATACCGATTAACAAACTAGATTCTGTTCACTATTTTCTGCACTCTGGGGAAAACAGTTGATTAAGCTTGTTATTATTCGCTATTTCGTCACATGGAAAATTCATTGCTTCCGTCTGTGTGAAACTGAGTCATTCTTAAAAATGGGAACCGAAGGATGCATATATATGTAAGGAGCGGGTTAGACCGCGCGTGGTAAACAAAGAGAATACAAATCGTGAATTTCCCGAACGATATTGCGCCATGATGGAACTAGAGAAAAAAAATTGTTAATCTTATCAGACGAGATTAGCTTTTGTGATTGTCCGGTTGGGTGCTTAATGAATTGTTTGTTTTACAAAATAAAGGATTTTGCTGCGTAATTTTAAATATTTGTAATAGGTTGTTATTGAGCCAGTTAGAATTGCTTTCACATGATAATCTATACATGAGATTGACAGCGGCCAACTGATAAACAAAAATCAAAGGAAAAAGAATCTTTATAGATTATGATAAAGAAGATAAAAAGATAATGAATAATGAGTGCCTGTGTGTATATGTGTGGGTGTATGTGTGGTACATTGTGTGATGCGAGAGTACCCTTATACAGATTAGAGCGAGGGCCAATATATTCAGTAAGATGATCATGTTTAAATATTCACACGCTACTTTTTAAACGAAAACTCTTTTTTATTACTTAGAGACCATGGACAGTAATGTCTGTCTTCTTTGCGATCTTTTCGGCTACCAAAAATTCGGCAATCTTTATACGTTGATCGCCCGCGAACTGCAGAACACTGCCGAGTTCTTCATGTTCAATAATAATTCCACTGCAGGCAAAAATCCTTTTGAAAGTCTTTAGAAGCTTTTTGGCATCATACTCGGCTGGAAGTCCTTGGAAGGTTGTCAATGTCTTGCGACCATTTCTTTGTTGAACACGCAAATCTATGTTTGTTTACTCTTAATGTAATGCATTATATTTATTTTAAATGGACGACTTACGGATGTTCTTGGCTGGTTGTTGATTGTTATCTTGTTCAACATCAGCAAACGGATCTATAAAGCAATAAAGTTGGCAAATAGGATCTTTTGTTTCCCCTTCATTTCGGGCTTACCAAAAGGGACGTTGAGCTCTTCAATATTGGACATCAACTAATAAAGAGAGTAAAAAGAGAAAAAGAGAGACGAAAGCGGAGAGGGTAAAAAAAGGGGGTGTGGGAGGAGAGAAAGAGAAGGTAGAGGTCCCCCTATTGGCTGGGGGAATTTGCTATAGACGTCCCTTTTTTGGTTATATAAACGGCTGATCACGCGATTTCTTATTTGGGTGAGATAAGATGGTTGGCCCTAATATGCATTGAATCAGCAAGGAATGATAAGAGCTAAAGGTTCCCTCTATATAAATAAAATGCAAAATGATAGATAAGTTGGTCTGATGCTTATTTATTTATTTTACGCGTGATACCTTATCTTTTTTTAGCTCATTTTTAGCGGCTTCCGCGGTATTTTGAGGGAAATAATTGTAGGGGTTCTAATGAGATTCAAGATAACAAATTACTTATGATTGGTTGAGATTTCCTCCGACAAATTTTTTTTACTAGATGTTGCTATCACTAGCCAATCACTGTCATCCAATAGATGTTTTTAAAAAAAAAATCTTTTTTCTTTTCTTTATCTCTCTCTCTCTCTTTCTTCTCTTCTTTATATTCACAGCCATGACAGTAAAGTCACCCTTTTACAACAAGCCTTCGACGTCCACTAGCGTAGACTCTTGTCATAAATGCCCGTTGATACTCACGCTTGACAAGAATGATATTAATAAACAACAACAACAAGACCAGACTACTTTAGTAACTGGCTTCGATCAGTCAAAGGTTTCTGCCCCTTCCAGCAATAACTCTATCTCAGCCGTTGTTGAGCCGAGCAACTCCAGTGTTGCGAAATCGGACATTGGAAGTGCGGTCGTTACCTCGTGTTCGAACTGTGGTACTACCACTACGCCTCTTTGGAGAAGATCTCCCTTAGGTGAAACTATCTGTAATGCTTGTGGATTATATTATAAAGCACGAAATACAACTCGTCCTGTTTGGTTGAAAAGAAATGCATCAAAACGCCCTAAATCAAACATGATCAACCCAATCGCTCTTGCGCCTCGTATTTCTCCTACTCCTCTTTTAGCCCCCGCTCCACCTATTCTCTCCATGCATCAATCTTCATCCTCACTTACTCCCTCTTTGCAACAACATCAAATTCATCAGAATCAACAACAACCACAAAAACAACAAGAAAATCATCAACAACAACAACATCATCAACAACAACAACAGCAACATCAATCTAAACAAACTAAGCCACCCGTATCGGTTGGAAAAGAAATCGCTCCCGATTGTCTCATTTGCGCTAATTGTCAGACTACAACCACCCCACTTTGGCGACGCGATGAATCTGGTCAGCCAATCTGTAACGCCTGTGGTCTTTATTTTAAATTACACAGCGTTCATCGTCCAATCACCATGAAGCGATCAACAATCAAACGCCGTAAAAGAGTCACAGCCGCTACCATGGTTACCCACAAACCCGTCGTGATTCAACGCCAAGTTTTGCCTGACAACAGCCAAAAACGCCAACATGAGCCGGAACTCGAAACTAGCAATAAACGCACTGATCATCATCTTCGCCCATTATTGCCTTCGCCTGTTTCACCGATCTCTTCAAGAAGATCTTCGCCCGATCCTATTGAGCCCGAAGTCTATCATCAGCGCTATTTGCCTTCTCCACCTATGCGACCCACCACTTCTAATCTCGCTTGCTTGTTAAACCCCCAAGTGGACCGTCTTGATCGTAGTCTTCCTAGTCTGCCTTCTCCTCCATTGGTCCCTCATGATGATATCATGTTACCCAAACAATCTCATTTTGCATTATTTCATCCCAATAATACGCATAAAGTCCTTGAGGCTCATCGTATAGAGTTGAAACGTGAAGTGACCAATCTTACTTGTCTGTTGAGCCGTACAACTGCGATGCTCCAGAATATAGACAGTGTCATGACAAACTATTAAATATCTTATATAAATAAAAATAAACCATCTCTTATAACCTATATATGTAAATTTTCAATATATTTTTTGGCATGTGAAAGCAATACCTCCATGTGAAGTAAACATAAATCCCAATTTTTGTCGGTTTCTCACATCGGAGTCTGTTCCCCCGCATTTTTGCTGACTAGCGCTTGTTACAAGTTCTCCCTCAATCCTATTAAGCATTTGTAAAGACAATTAGCTTTTTTTTTAAAAGCCCTTTTTTTTTCTTTTTTTTTCTTTCTTTCTTTTCTTTTTCTTTTCTTTCTTTTCCTTTCTCTCTTTCTCTTTTATTAAAATAAAATGGAGTACGACGCAACTCATAAAGCCTCTAGTATCACAAGCACAACAAGTACCATAAGTACTGTCAGCACAAGCAGTACCAATACATGGGATGCCATTCTTCCGACACCGGAAACAAAAGATGGTAAATATTTCTTCCCCTTTTTAATAATTTCAAACAGCTAACAAAAAAAATTCTTTTACTTAGATTATTGTATTTCTCTAGTAGACTATCCATACGATACCATAGGATTCAGTCCAATCTATCTTCAACATGGCGATCAAATCACGGCTCCCACAACGTTTAGAAGAAAGGCATCGGCACCAATAACAACCAATAATTATCAACCCATTCGACCTTCTCCAGTTCAAAGACATCGTTCCCTAACTAGCGTCCTTCCTGTTAAAAAGATCAACCGTGATTTACTTTCAGACAATGAGAAACGCATCAATCATATTGCCTCAGAACAGAAACGTCGTAATACCATTCGTCTTGGATTTAAAGACTTGACAGATATCATCCCTACCTTGAAAAATATTAACAACTCAAAAAGCACCATCTTGTTTAAAGCCGTAGATTATATGAAACATCTTGATAGACGTAATCGTACACTTTTAGAGAAACTCAGCGCACTACAGGCCCGTAGCCGTGCTCATGCTCATAATATGCAACAAAAGAAGGCTCGCTCATCTAACAGTCAACGATATAAACAACTGTTTGGTGTCCAACACCAACAGCATCACCACCAACAACCACAACAAGAACTACCTGCTCATACCATAAATGCTTTAATAGCTCATAAAGATCAACAACGACAATTACAAGAATTGCAAGATCAGCTGAGAGTTCAGCAACAACTTTTAAAAAAACATAATATTATACCTTCAAGTAATGCATCTCAATATAACTCAATTTCTATCCCATCCAGTGCAAGCAGTCATAGTGATGAACACGAATCACAATTATACACACATTCTACAAAAAGGCCTTGGCACACACTTTAAGCATTTTTTACTAATAAATATCATATGGTTACATTTTATATATATATATATATATATACAACTATATGAAATGATGTAGGGCAAAATGTATCGTTTTAGCGAATGGCATCAGTGCATGTAAATTAACTGAAAAATCCCCAGAACTTGTTAGCGGTTTGGACTGCTTTTTTGAAATTTGGAAAGCTTACAGACATCGAGAGATTGAAGGGTACACTAACTCCAACAGGCAAGCAGGTTCTAGTAGACGCTGAAACACCTGTAACTTTTTGGATATTACTGGAAACAAAGTGCTAAGCTTGTTCATGCGCTCTCCAAGAAGTTTAAAAAGACAAGGTCCGGTAGATTAAATCAAAATTTTAGTTTTAAAACAGGATACTATTTCTCAATTCAAATAATGAAATAGCCTAAATGCCATGCTTCGGCAATGTTCTCCATAAATCTAAAATAAAAGAATTTGGCATGGAATTGATTTCGCTGGTTTAACACCTAATATTCCAAGTATTAAACACAAACTATGTTAATCAGCATGTGTAATTCACAAAGGGCACCACAATCTTTTTTATGGTAATAGGCCTCCTCTTCCCACTGTCATCAAATGGGGGGGGGTTAACTTCCCAATGAAGCCTAGTTGTAATGATTGATCTAATGGGGTCATAGTCATATCGTATCTTTATTAAAGATATATGATGTTCAATTATTAATAAAACTCGCACAGGTTGGATGATTTTTTTCTAAATATTTATGGTGACATCTCTAGCTATATCCTCAGCCTTAGCACTCGGATTTATTCATTGGACGAATGGGATTTTTTTCTTAGTGCTGCCTCTTCTTAATTGATAATCACTGTATCTGCCAAGCCTGAGTCCCTGAAATTGTTTCTTTTCTGCTAGTATTAATAAGAATATTAGTAATTTTTACAAGCAACCTTCATCTCGTGTCACATATTTCACCAAGCACTGTCTCGTTTTTTAAAGGTGCGTACGTGGCAAGTTAAACCATATGAGATCAGAAGTAATGTTACTTTTCATGTGCTCGATTCTATCTACTATTGCCGCGTCATACAATACAAATTAAGATCCTAGGTAAATCTACCCTCATTATCAATAAAACCCTTATTTATATAGTATTCTATTACTCAACGTTCCCATAACATCCACCACTGTACCGAAGCCTTTTTATTCCGCATGACCAGTCTATTATAATTTTGATTAGCATTTTGTCATATGAATGGGAATTAATGATAAAAACGAATTCATTGAAAACTGTTCTATATTCAATTGTACGGAACAGGTTAATACATATAAAAATTAATGAACCACAGAAAACTAGTAAACAGACTTAAATCTTAATGAATATTAGCAACCGCAAAACCCATTAACTATATTGCAAATACCATCTGTTCTATCTGGGACGTTTTGTATTTAATTGATCCTGACAGATTTTAAAGTGGATTTAAAGATGCAAAAAATCTCCATAATGACATTTAGATCCTTTTACACTTTCGTCTGTATCACTAATAAATTACTTTAGCAAAAACATCAAGAGATGATCATCAGATTCAAATAAGGGACAAAACTGCATGTTTACCGAGGGAAATATTATAGTATGACAATAATGAGCGACAACCAAATGCTATCTTCAAAAAGAATTTCGAGTGATTAAATTAAAACCGAACTGATCAGTACAGTTAAGTGTATCAAAGCGGCCTTATAAAGTTGTGTTCTCAACATAGGGTGATAGAATTAATTTATGTTGCTGAACGATGCATAGTCCAGAAGACATTTTTCCGAACTCAATAGGGTATTTTCTATTAGGTTAGATAGATAGAGTGCGAGCGCATGAAGGACAAACCAACCGCATTTTAGAAGTTTCATCTACTAACCCGCGTCAGTGCGAAGCAACTATCTAGCGTGGAGATGCTGCCAGCCCTCAAAGATAATCTGACATGGTCGCCCCAAAATTAAAGTAGCCCGAATCATATCATGACTCTCCGGTTGATCAAAGATCAATTACAGAGTATCATTTATTGACTCGGGTTACCATATCGTTAATTTGGCACAGTACTGTTCATAGGACACTTTGGCGTGACAAGCTACTTGATAAATACCAAGATGAATTTGATTGACGATCACAGATTTCCAGGAGATCGTGGATCTCAAGTCGGAAATATGTGTAGAAGCTAATCTACTGGGTTTAATAAAGAGTATTAAACTAGTCAAAAACATAGTCATCATATGAGATTGTGTAAAAGGAATAAACCCAAAGGAGTTCATTATTGGTCTACGTTGCGTAGATATCTGTTACCACTATTTTAAAAGCGATAGTATTTTATAAAGCTAAACTCTTAGCATGAAGAAAATGGCATCCCACTGTGCCTTATTCATGAACATGTGATGTTATTTAACGAGTAATCCTCGAAATAGAAATCTGTTTCAGCATTCCTCAAGAAAAACAGAAAATCTCTGACGTCATTTTTTTTTTTGGTTATTCGCAAATTTTTTTTTGAATACAAAAAAAAAAAAATCGAGGCTTGGCGAAGGCTTGGGTCGTATCCTCTTGCTTTTCCTCTTTAGAAAGAAAGCAACTCCGGCAAAAACAGGCGAAAATAAGTAGCATAAAGCATAATTACCCCTTGAATAAAAAAAGAACAATCCGATGGCTCGTGTACATCTTTTCTCTTCATCAACTCAACCCTACAATTATAAACGGGGACCCGAGAACAATATAACCCAAGAACCTTTGCTATCATCGTCCGATGACAATATTATCGACAATACAACTATATCAGAGCAACAACAACCCCTCGATATCGGAACCTCATCCACTTCTTCATTTATCGCCACACCTTCCTCACCCGACCACCACCTCTCTTCCACTGCATTAACTGCGGCGCTTTTGGCAAATAATGACATTACAGTGAATAATACAAACACACAGTCAGGTAATTAAAGATTATATTGTGGTATGCATGTTTATTCGTTGAAAATTAAACTCCCTTCTCTAGAACCACTGCAACACGCACCATTAGTAGATACAGACCCTCATGTTAAGGAAGATGTGATGGACCAAGCAGCAGCAGCTACGGCACTTCAATTATTGGGACTTTCACAAGCGGAAGAAAAAGAGAAGGAAAAAGAAGAGAAAGAACCTATAACGAAAGAACTTGAGAATAATGTGATGTTGATTGGAAATTATCCTGGCTTACCCTCCAGCTTAGAAGATATTGACCTAAACAGTGAAGATATGATGCAAGACTATAAACGTGGAACCTGGACAAGAGAGGAAGACGAATTATTATTGTCAGGTATAAAGAGATATGGTTATGGTAGATGGAAAGAAATTGCAACTTCTATTCCGGGAAGAAAGGGCAAACAATTAAAACAAAGATGGGATAATACTTTAGCTTCCAAATACGTTGATCAAGAATGGTTAAGAAATAAAATTCGTAATGATGAAGAAGAAACTGCTGCCAACGCTACAAACGCTGCTGCCGCTGTCAATGTCGCCGCCGCTACCAACGATGTTTCTACCTCGAATACGAATAATACGTTGGATGGAAATGATAAAACAAGCGACGATAAAGCACTAAAGTTCTTGGAAGCAACGGATTGGAATGATATCGCGTTGAAGATTACGGAAAAGGCAAGGGAAGGAGATCAACACGCTATAGAAGCCTTATTATCACAAGCCTTATTAGGGACTGTAGCCCATAATGCAACATCATCTTCTGCTACTGGATCGCCACATCATGATAATGTTTCTATTAACCAAGATAATACCAGCCCAAGTACACCCACTACAAACGACACAAACGACACACTCGGTCTGAATTTTACACGATCCCCTATTGATCCCAATAATCCACCACCTATCAATTTCGCAGATGCCGCTGCTTTAGCCATTTACGCACAACAACTCAATCACAGTAATAATAATAGTACAGCAACAAGTTCGCCTCAGAACAATAACTTGGCTGCAGCTGCTACGCTTGCCAATCACCCGTATTTCCTTACCAACCCTTTTGCTCCCAGCTCAAATAATGACAATAACAATGCACTATCAGCCGCTGCAGCCGCTGCTGTAGCTGCTGTAGCACATCAGGCACAACAACAGCAACAACAGCAGCAGAATGACCAGACCAATTATTCTACTGTTTCATCACCTTCTTCGTCTACACCAACAGCGGGACAAAAACGACGTCGATCTGATCCAGCTTTAGCGGACACCCAAAGTGCTGCTATGACAATATATGCATCCGCTACACCCATCACAACTACGATCAATAACCAAACGCAAACAGTGTATCCTTGTCTGTTCCCCAACTGTGGAAAAACGTTTGCCCGATTATATAATTTAAAGAGTCATTCGAGAACACACACGGACGATCGACCGTTTGTATGTCATGCCTGTACAGCTGCTTTTAGCAGAAATCACGATTTGAAAAGACATTCCAAAATACATGGCGGGGATAAGCCGTACCGTTGTGAAGGATGCAAAAAGAGTTTCTCCAGGTAAACGATAATTTTATTTTTTTGGAGGTGAGTAAGGATGGTTACTTATCAAAATTTTTCTTTGTGTGCATGTATAGATTGGATGCGTTAAAACGGCACAAAAGTAATCAGAGAAATAAACAAGGTTGCACAGAAGATTAAAAAAAAAAAAAGAAAAAAGAAAGAAAGAGTGTCAAGTTCATACCATCTCCCACCCCCCTACCCCCATCACCTTTTAACAACTTGGCTTTTCCCTTTTTTTTACCCGCTATTGTAATATTTCCATCCATCACTATTCTTTCTGTCTTTCTGTAATATATATTTGATAAAAGGTAATATATTCAATGATTTTTTTTATAATTGCTGTTTTTTTATGCCAGGTAATGATATGAACGTCTGTGGTTGAATAAAATAGTTTTTTTAGTCATAAAATACATGTGTATCGTGAGACAAATGTTTACCTGTCATCTGTACTTCTTTCCAGATACTCACGATCGATCAGTGCCTCAATGCGTTTCTTAATCATGACTGGACTAGGCATAAACCTTGAACTCAATTGTTTTGTTACTTCCGCAATCAACAAATTATGTTCCATCAATTTTCGATCCTTCATAATACGCACAATGGAAGCTTCGATCTGATGTTTACGCTCTTCGTCCACTTTATCCTGTGTATTCTTTCTCTCTCCATCCGACTCAACTTTTGATGCTAATGCCTGAATCTTGATACGTGTCATGTTGGAGGTGAAGTCCTTGTTGAAAGAAAATGTGTCATCGGGTAAAATATCCCGTCCTTTAGATGACTTTGTTAGAATTTTGAACTTGGCACATGCCAAAGATTGCAAAGTACGCTTCAAATCTTGATCTGCAATCTGTGTTACATTCTTGATATCATCCCAAGACATTGTATCCTCCTTGTTGAACAATAAAAGGATCACCATTGCATATGTAGATACATTTAATAAATGCTTGCTGCTTTTAAAGTGCGCACGGACATCACCAGAACCCATTTGTGGTTGCCATGTAAGACGACGACCATTGTGTCGATCGAAATAGAAATGTTCAAATGCTTTACATGCTTGTAACACAATATCAGGCATGACACATTTAGGCGAGGCCGATAAATTCATCGGCCAAAAAGTTGATGTTAATACCGTGACGGAAACATCAAGCGTGGGTATTTCTTGTGAAGGTATTGACTTCTCAAGATAGTCCTTAAAGTAACCATTCATTTCGGTAGATAACTTCATATCATTAAACATACCTTCTAACTTGTTGGTAAATTGATAACCACATTCTCTCTAAGTGTTGCTTCTTTGTAAATAACAATAATCCTCTTTGATCTCGATATGTAATTACCTTTAATTTGGAGAGCATGCCTCGCTCTGCGTCATCGGATACACTTCGGTTGAACAATAAACGTTTTGCTAAATGTTGCTTGTAATAGCGTTCAAAAACATCCTTGTCCTGTAAAAATCTAAATAATGTAATCGTCTTGTCAAGGACATCATCCACTTCATCCTCAGATTTCTATAAATTCACATTTTAGTCAAGTATCTCTCTTTTCAACACATTTCACTTACACCCTTGAGTCCCTTCTTCAAATTTTCATCAATAAACAAGGAAATAAATTCGGCTGACTTTTGATTGTCATTGATAAACTTTTCAAAAGCTTCGTTAAAGGCAGTTTGGAAAGACTTATCCTTAGCAGCGGCAAGATCCAATATTTTATCGAATTTCTCTTGCAAGGTCAACACTTCCATTACCCAGCAAATGGCAACATTTCCAGACCCCTTTTCGGCAGTGGACTTTGATTTTAAATCAGTATTGATATGTTGATTAATTTCGGCACCCATGGTGAGGATATATTTACTAATGTTGCTCTTCATTTCGCTCAGGCCAGCTGGTACGCGCGCAAATAAACTGTACATGCGTGATAAATCTAAGATGACTTATCAATACGTTGCTGCCCATCCCTCATTCTTATTTTATTTTATTTTACCTCCGTATTTATCAGCAGTCAACATACTCTCTAGTCCTGAATTCTTCATCTAGATAATACCCATCAATCATTACTCTGGCATCATGAAATGAATATCATCAACTTACTTCCATCAATGTCTTGATATTATTGGCGATTAATTGGGTTTCCACAATCGTTCTAATCTTCACTTCTGTAGTCATTGATAAACAGTGAATTGTTCTTTCATATTCTTCCTCCAAACGTTTCTCCACCTACATAATTCAAATAAGAAACTCATATTTGTTGTTTTTTTTTTTTTTTTTTTTTTTTTTGTTAAAATGTACCTTTCGCATAAATTCAGGAGCGTCATAGGAAGAAACTAATTTTTGACTTTCAATTTGATAGAATGAAGTACTTGTTTCCAAGTATTCTGCTTCAAAATCCACGGCATATACTGTGTTTCCTGTCAAAGGGTCTGTGAGTTCCACCAGCATGGCGACAGCTGACTGAATGGCACTGCGATCAATTACATCCCCGTTTCGTTCCAATTGAATTTGTGTCAACATCGCAGATATCAATTGCTTTTGGATAGGATACTTTTCCGATCTGATCACTTTATCACGAAACAGGTTTAAACCCATATCGTACACACTAGGTAAGTTGTACTTTGGTAATCTTTCATTCTTATGACACAAATAAGTATTAGTATCATAAAGGAAATATAAACTCCCCTATTTTTCTTTTTCTCATGTGTGCTGCTTACGAGATAATATAACACTTGCAAAATCAGGTCAATGGCGGTTGTAAAGTCATCCCAAACTCTCTTGATGGTCTGAAGAAACAATGCGCCAGCATCGGCTGTACTGCTTGATTCGGACGAAGAATTGATGAATGCAGGTACAATGGTTTTTTCTGCTGTGCTTTCTAAATATTGCGCGATAACCTTTTCAACGTCATGATACAGTCGTTCACCGAATTGTCGAATCGTCAACTTGTAGGCTGTACGGTACAATAACTCATAGGAAAGTTCTCTCGCTTGCTTTTGAAAAATTACCGTAATTGCACTACTGAGAATGTCGAAACCTTCATCGTATTCTTGTGTATTGTCAACCGTCTAACTCTGTTTATTAGCGGAAAGGGAAGGGTGCTCATATCGTTCTTGATACTTTACCATGCGCTTGACAGGTCTAATTTTACCCTTCTTCAACGACATTTTTGTTATATCACTACCAAGAAGAAGAAAATAAAAGGGAGAGGAGTGTTGCTTTTTGGCCGGTATGCTCGTATTTTTTTTTAAAAAAAAGACACTTAGTGCCGCCTGAGAACAGCCAATCATAGCCCAAGACCAGCCTCAAGGCAGCCAATCAAGCCGCAAAGAATGCTAGCCGATTTTACATAGGTAAACAGTCCGTGGCTATTCACATCATGCATGAAAGTTTTTCATGATGTATATTGTCAGTACGAGTTTGACGTGATGATCATGGTGAGAAAATCAGAACAAAAAAAAGTGTTTAAATGCGTTCAGCTTGCGTAAATCTAGTTTATGATAGTATTATGTGTGCGTAACACCAAGCAGGAAACGTTAACAAACACCCCGTCCAATTCTTGCCAATGCTATTGTCTGATTTTAGGGAGAATCCCGCGAAGCTAATCTTATTAAATATAGGTTGGAATTGTAATAAAACAAAGACAGGCGAGAATCATTGTAATATAAAAATATGCAATTCTGGTAGGATCACATTAATAATGTTTTCTTAATTAGTAGCTCAGAGCATCAAAACAACTTCGTTTCCTGTCTTTTCCAAGTATCACAAAATCTAGAGTTGTGTGAAATAAGGATCATGTTTCGTAAATTTAGGGATATATTTGCTTCTTTCCGAACACTGTATGTAGGTATATATCATTGCCAAATAATAAATATTCGTTAGAAAAAGTTCAAGGACGCCACCTGACATTCTTATATCTCTTATTTTGCGTTATGTTTTGAAATATAGCTCCATATCTGTAATATTTTAATTGTCTTTGATTTCCTGTATGATTTTTTTCACTGCATCAACACCAAATAGATTTGGTAAACCAGGTGTCAATTCTTCTCCTTTCAAAGGTGTTGTTTGTCTTCGTGAACCAATGGGTAATAAATATGTCCGCTCAATAAGAAAGAAGCACATTTAACTAATATTGTTGTATTAAGTGTACCTATCGATTTTTTTCTGCTTCAGGCAATTTATTTGTGAGTATAGTTCGTCGTATCAAAGTTTTTAAGATGTTAAATTGCAAGCCTATACTTTACTTTTTTACGCCTGCATTTGTAAGTAACTTTGGTGTCTTGAAACAGTAACAGCATATAGATGATTGTAAGCAGACGTAAATATTAACTTTCAAAAAATGATAATTTATATGGAATAGAAAAAGAAAGTGTAAAGGAGATTATTGTCTCTCAATTGTAACAACAACAATAAAACAAGAACTAGTTGATGAAGGTGAAGCGGTCGACGAAACTTGCCTAGTTAGAAAGCTCGTGATATTCTCTTGTATGATTTTTGTATACACATTGAGCTTAAACAGAGCAAATCGAGTTTAAAACGGCATTTGCGGTCTGCCAAAACTACACTGATCAATAAAATCATCCTGCGCGTATGTAAAATAATCTATGAACCAACAGAATGCCTCATCAACAACGACCAGACGACCTGTTTTTTTTGCAAGGCTTTCGATAAATAAACTATAAAATATATCAAGAGATTAGTAAAGAATACTAAATACCATGTATTTGCTTCAACGGTTAATCGTGAGGACATACCTCCTCTACAAAACCTTCCTGGATGCACAGACATGTGTAAGATTTGTGAGATATGGTAGAAGGCGATGTAAGGATTTTTAAATAAACGTATAAAAGACCTGCAAGCGTATATTTTTAGAGATTCCTCTGACTCTCTTAGAATCAGACGGTTTTCGTGATTATTCTAGGTTTCTATAATTGAATTGGGAGTCTTTTGTCGCGGTATCTAAAATATGGTGTAGGGCCAATAATCTCAATAACAATCGCGCGGGATCATCCTCATGCAGATATAATTGTGCAAAATCAATTTGAAGTCAAGGGAGAAATTTGTATTAAGTGACGTTATGGATTCGATTATATGCATGTAAGAGAGAAGATTACGGTTATTTAGATGGTCAACATGTTATTATAAACAAAGAAGAATATTTATTCGCATTTACGTATGATCGTTGTATATTTTTATACCATTAAGGGTAGGTCAGCCCAATAATACAAAAAAAAACTGTGTGCCCGGGTAAAGATAAAAGTACATGCGCTGTGCCAGATGCGAGAATATAACTTTAGTCATTGGATCTACTAAAAAAAAAGCTGTCACGGAACTTCATGTGAATATCACTTCATCGAACATCTTATTTTTCTTATTCCCCTTTATACCCCCTTTTTTTTAATACAAGATGGTTCTTACTCATTCAGGCGTTGACCACTTCAACCGTTACTTAAACACCACTGTAGGTCGTGAGAAGCTTTGTCGTCTTGTACAATACTTTGCTCGTTTCTACGCCTTCTATTTATTTCGTAGTGGTGCACCCAAGGACACCATTCAACGCTGGGTCGACTTGAAGACTCATCTTGGTAACGGTCGTAAATTCTTTCGTCTTTTAAAGCCTGTTGAATTTGCTCAGACTGGCGTCAAGAGCTTGACTATTAAAGACGAGGTCTTACGTTATACCGCTGTTGCCAAACAAATCGGTATGGCATTCTATTATCTTTCTGAGGTCTTTGTTTTAGTAAGTAATATCGTATAATTGGTGTTTTAACTAGGTTTATTAATCATCTTTTAAACATAGGCAAATTCTATCAATTTTTACAAGTCCCCTAATATCAAGAAGATCACCGAGCTTGGTCAAAGATGTTGGTTTGCTGCTATCACCGCGTCTCTGGTTTCAGGTTTGTACAAGTTCAAGCAAATCAAGGTTCGCGAGCACATGCTTGAGAAAACTCGCAAAGCCATTGTCAACACTGAGGAAAAATCAGAGGCTCAATTTGCCGAATTAAAGGCTCAAGAAAAGCAATTAGCAAAGTAAGTTTAGCATTTAGGAGGGATAAATCAAATGAAATGGAAATTAAGCAACAATTTTAATTTTATCTTAGGGATAAATATAATACCAGATATGCTTTCATCCAAGATGCTGTCGACATCATTATTCCTTCCACTGGTTTAGGTTACTTAAAGGCTGATGAGGGAATTGTCGGCTTAGCTGGGTAATAATTCATAACTATCTTCACGATAATTACTTTTTTATTCTAACTATTTCTTCTTTTAGTATTACTACATCTGCATTAGCAATGATCACTCAATGGAACAAGTTAGCATAGAGTATCATTTTTGATCTTTTGAATAAACCATATATTATATCACCCCATGTATTTACTGAGAGTTGTGTATTTTTGTGCTATTTTGAAGGAAGCCCGAAAACTAATTTAAATATGGGTACGATTTTATTACATTGATTAATGGTATAAGGTAACAAACAGATTATTTAGTTTAATCAAGCTTGTATTCTTTCTTTTCGCCGATCTTGAGAGATTTTCTTTCGGGACTCTTACGGGTTTGAAGGACTTGCTGCATTTCGGCGCCTAGTTCTTTGGCTCTGGCAGCAGGACTCATACTGTGTTGCCAGTGCTTCTTGGTGGCGTTAGATTCAATGAAAGCATTCTTGTCGGCAACAGGCATATCTTGACTACTTGCAGTACGAGGACTCATATTGTCGCTTGAAGAACCGTATTCGGAAGGAGTAGAAGATACAGCAGAAACAACATCCCTACCTCTCAAATGTTCGGGGTGCTTGTTTAAAATGCTAGTGTTGTTGTTGTTACCAGGAAAAGGATGGCTTGTGGGTGTCATATCGGCGGAATGACGTCCAGAAGTATGATGATCCATTGGAGATACACCGGAAGAACGGTGTCCAGGCAAATGATGCTCGGGTGGAGACATACCAGAAGAATGATTCCCGGGCATGTGATGTTCCATTGGGGACATATTTGAGGTTTGACTACCAGAGAAATTACGGTCTGTTGGAGACATGTTGGGGGAGTGGTTACCAGGTAAACTACGATCCATAGAATGATGCATGTTGTTTCCAGAAATAGGTTGGCTTGTAGATGCCATGTTTTGGGAGTAATCATTGTTGCCCAATACAGGGTGGCTCATGGGTCTTGTCTTTGGAGAAGAATCGTTGCTTCCAGCTTGGTAAAGATCGTGTGCGGGGTAAGTTCTCGTTGTGCTATTGCCAATGAACTGACCCGATGCAGAGGGAACACTGTTACTTAAATGATGCTTGTGACCTGGAGTTTGGAGATCGCTCATACCAGGGACAAAGGGAGGATCGGTTTGTTGATGGGTGGCACGGTTGATGTCTTCAACAGTAGCACCAGCTAAGTTTCTATCATCACCTAGTTGGTTATGTGATTGATCGCGATGGACTATTCCTGCAACTTTATCATGAATAGGATTGTGATGGCCGGAACCTTGACTATGTAAGTGGCTGTGACGACCAGATCCTTGATCGTACAAGTTGTTGTCTTGACCCAGGGTGGCAGATGGGTTATGCATGCTGTTTTGTGGGTAGTTGTTCATTTCAGTACGTTGAGGTGCTATGCCACCGTTTTGAGCGTTGAAGTTGTCTTGGCTGTATTGGTCATGGATGGGGGTATTATTCATTCCAATGTGTTGACTGTTCATATCACCATATTGATTATTAGCGTGATCAGAGTGACTTCCTAAGCCAAGGTGACGGTTATGATCAAAACTTCCATGACTGTCAGTCAAAGAGTGGCCATTTAATTCATGGTGAGGGACGTGGCTATCAACGCCTTGGTCTTGGCCCATGTTGTGCATAATGTTGGGGTTCATGTGTTGGTTGTCCATTTTATATTTGTGTGTGTTTGTGTTTATGTATGTGTATATTCAAAAGAAGATGAGAATAAACAGGGAGTTTTCAGTTAGTATTTATACATGAAATATTTTTCTATCGTCATTCTGACATTCAAAAGTCAATTCAGGCCTTCCCAATTTAAAAATTAGCTTTTTTAATGCATTCATGCCATGACGTAGTAGCGGCAAAAACCTGACGACATGATTGCCCGCAATGTGTATTTAACGTTACACACGTGAAAGAAAACTAGGCTTTTTCTTGGAAAGAGGCAAACCTAGATTCAAAAATATCAATCTTGTCAGTTCGTGATACCCTTTCAACCCTAACTAAGTTGGATCTTCATCACAGATGATCTTTTGTTTCGTTTCTTTAAGCTAAAAAAAAAAAAAAGCTAGATCGAACGATAGACTGGTATTATCAACTTAACAAGGGCTTTTTTTCATTTCGCTCTTTTGCCGTACCTGATTCGGTCTTTTTTTAACGCTAAATCGAGTTAATGTCTTTTTTGATGTTTATTCACCGGATATGTCATCGAGTGACATTTTTACAAAACATCCCCGTTCTACAAGCGCTTTTCTTAGGAACAGTCAAAGTGCACGTAGTCTGAACGTAAGATCTGTGATTTGGCTGTTCTAAAGACCTGGAAACAAGACTATGCAATCAAAAATAATGCAGTAATTACAAATAAACTTATATTGAACGATTAATACTTATTTGACAATTCTGTCATCACCCTTTCACCTTTGAGCTCGTTTGACCTTAATCTTACGCAGAAATATCCAAAGAGAATTGAAAGTAAACTATAACTCACACATACTGCACCGCAAAATTTTGGGGCAATCGCGGTGAATACGACTCATATCGCATTTTGGCGAAAACATCGTTTAACTCCAAAAAAACAGATAGCTACAAATATTGATTTTGCTATTCTTAGAGGTTAGAAATAAATATTAAAATGATATATTTTAAAAAAATGGTGCTTTACGATAATTATTGATGATTTTATTTAAGAGAAACAAAGATGATGGTTTGGTTTATAATCTGGGATGGATATTTTGTGTCACGTTAAATACATTTTCTTGACATATCCGCCTCAAACGCCTCACCAGTCAATGTGACATATATGTTATATGGATGATCAGTGGCATTGGCCGGAACAACCGAACATATAATTTTGTCAGCATCCAAACCCACAAACCTCTATTACTCATTCTCGGCACAGATGTGCTCTTCCCCTGCCCCCGCGCTAAGTAAACCTGTTAGTAGACTTCTCGCATCCGTCAAGTTAAGTCCAATATTTGTCTATACAACTAAGTATACCTGCTTTTCTTTATATCACCATTAGATAGAAATTTAAGTGACTTATTATATATGATTGTACTATATTTCAACATAGTATTCTATAGATATAATGCATACAAAACACTCACTAGGCTAAGGTAAGTAAAGAGGCAACGGTGACCTATGTAAGTTATCCACTAATATTTTTATTTTAGGTAATAATGAAGCTTTCATGTTTGTATAATACCCTTCTTTGGAAAAATTTATAAAGTTTATCTGTAATTTCATCCCCATAATCCTTTTGCCATTGTTATTTTATAAATATACAGCTTTATTCTTCGCTATTTTTACGCCATATAAAAAATAAAATAAAAACGATTATTCAAAATACAAAAATATAACTGTTCAAAATACAAAAATATAATTGTTCAAAATACAAAAATATAATTGTTCATAATACAAGGGTATAGAATGTGATATAACAGGGACGTTATGAGAATACCGCTAAACTGCGGTTAATAATAGTATCGCATTCGTGATAAATACGGTCAAAAACTGTAGAAATCGATCGCATTCGCGAAGATCACTGTCTAAAGATGTTGCTTATACTTCTACAATATTGGGTGGTTGATCCAAAGACAAATGCATAGCCTCATATACGACGTCATGTCTGAAACTGTGATCCCATTCTGCGTCGTCTATTCTATAATAATCTCCATGGGAAATCCATTGAAGTTTCTGTAATTATGTTCTTCACGCCAGGATGTTTCAGAACGAATTTACTTATCCGATCAGAACCAGGGCGTTCACGGAAGGGTATTTTGTATGTCATTAGTTAAGTCTCCTATTTATATGGAGCAATATTAACTTTTCAACCAAATATAATACATGACATTAAACTTACCTTGAAAAGTCATGAAAACGTAACGTAACAGAGGAAATGTCTAGACCTCCATATTTTTTTTTCAAACGTATTTATTTATACCACTTCCTACCAAAATTAGCAATCCGGTCTGATTACAGCTATTAACAGTGCAATATCTGCTGTTTAGAACGTGCCCATTCAGTGAGCTCCTAAAACCCAAGAAAACAATCATCCTCTAGCAAAGACTAGCCGTAGCTGTAATATCGCAAGAATTGCAATTTATCTTTTATATTTTTTTTTTTTTTTAAAAAAAAGAACTAATAATTTAGTGTTTCTTGAAAAACCAAAAATTATTATATACTAACCTTCTAACTTTCATTTTTTAAAAAAAAGGAAGTATGTTAAAGGTAAAGCAAAATGAAAAAAAGTGTGTGAAGAAGATTTTTTTTAAGCTGATAAACAAGAGCTTATGTCAAAATGATTTTATCGTACATTTAATCATCCAAATCAGAACTCGGTAGTTGTCTATCCGCGTTTCAGTACTATCTTGTAATGATAGTGAAGCATATTTTATGGAAAACAAAAATCGATCATTCTAGGAGGTTCAGACGATATGGCATGTCAATAGACGTAAAGACTTATGTGAAGACCATCACGTGATCCAAAAGATAGTCGGATGACAATACCATGATGGGCCAGATTCTTAGTATAAAATAGACTTTATTTAAACAGATGAGTTTCATCAGCTGGTTCTTATTTCTAATTTCTCAGTTCTGTAGCTACCTTTTATCATAGTTTGTTAACCTGCGGGCTTATTAAAGTTTTTTTTTTTTTTTTTTTTTTTTTTTTTTTAAAAAAATAATCTAGAAATTATAAACATAAACTTACAAAATTAAAAAGAATATATTTAATTTCGGATTAATAAATCCATCGCATGCTTAAACATCTTTAAGAACTCAAATTTATAAGTTGGCTGGATACTGATTATGTTGCCTACGTACCTGGACTAAAAGCTGATTGTTTGTCCCACAGGAACTTACCTATAAGCACATGATACTTTAAAAAGAGAGCCTGTATACATTTTTTCTTTAAAAATGTATACAGTGTTTTTTTACGTTGACTGCCAGGGCGCCGAATTCAGCATGTATTTTCTGATAGCTAATATTATCTTTTTTAAAAAAAAAGTTTCGCTGTAACATTATTCAGATCACATTAACCCCCAACACACATACACACAGACATATGGTATTAAGCATCAATATTTCAAATTTGATAAAAATTTTGTAATAGGTCTGATAATGCAATTACATACATAATCAGTAATATCAGAGCACATATCATATAATTGCGTCGGCAAATCTCAAGGAGAATAAACATAATGAAAGGTCATTTCTAAAATTCTTTCCGTTTTACATAAAAAGTGCAAGTGATAATCGATGGATAAAAAAAAATTTACAGCATTTGGAAATAAATTTGTGGTACGCTAGAATTCACAAAATCTTGACAGTAGCAAACGGAATACAGCCTGATTGGATGCTAACCTATAAAAAATTTTTTTTCAACAATTTTTTAGAAAAACAAAACTCTGTAATTGTACATGGAACGTGTATCCATTGGGAAATAATTATGCTTCCAAGTCCAAATTACAAGTGAACGCACGTTCGCTCAAGGCGGGAAATGATTCTGTAACCCGCCGAGTAATAAAATGGGAGTATGTGTCGGGACTATTGGAGGATTTGATGTTACACGTAGATTGCTCAATTTGTCTAAAGTGACATCATGATGGGGTCAATAATAGGATCTCCCCAAATCAATCATTGATAAGGCAATAACAGGAAATTGCCACTGGAAATATATTATAATACGGGTCATTTGTTATCACAACTGAATAAATCAGAAAAAATACATAAGAGGGGGTGCTGTATCTATGGTGTAACTGTGCGTGACATAATAATAACAAAAAAGAAAGCAAAGTTCATTAAGTTACTCGCCCAATCGAGTCGCAGTTTTTCTTATCTTGATGAAATCAAACTGCCATGTACTTTTCAACAAAAGGATGACGGGACCCTTTCTTATATAAAGCATGAAAACAGCAATGGTATCTAATAAATAAAGGTACTAACAAGTCAAGATTCAATCTTGATTTCCAGTTGTGTGCCTTTTTTGCAGCAATTATTTCATTTGTATGAATAAATAATAATAAAAAAAAAAAATATGGCAATGATGACATAATGCTGTCACATGGACAAGGATCTATTTTCTGGCTTTGTTTTATATTTTTCTACTTGTCTTGAAAATAATTGTGTGGTCTTATTGACTGCACACACATAACAAAAAAAGAACAGTACAGTTTATAGTTAACAATGGAAGATCAATTTCATATTTAACAAACATTGACGAGTCCGCAAACAAAGCTGAGGCCAGAATTTTCCGAGAATTGCAACAGAGTGATGAGTTCCTAAAATGGCTTCATGCGATTATTTCTAAGCCCGCGATTTTTATTTTTATTATATAATTACACTTTTTTTTTCCATAAATCTTCTTTTTCCTTCTTCATTATTATATTTTATAAAAAAACAAGGCCAAAATGTCACCATTAACTGCAGAAAAGGTTGCCGACTACTTACCATTGGCAGGAAGAATGCCTCAAATTTCAGGCCGTATTATTAACGTGACCCATCAAATCCCTTATCATATTTCAAGATCATCCAATAGTGTGTCTACAGTGGTGAGTGATGATCCCGCTAAATCCTCGCCTCGCCCTCCCACCGAAACCGAGGAAGATGAAGATGAGGATGTGAACGCTGCTCCAATCTCTAAAGTGACTCGTCATCATCACCGTCGTGGTACCTTGCGTGCCCAATTTCGTGCTGCTGAGTGGATGATTGTACAAAATAGAGGTCACGGTGCTCTCAATGCCGGTTTGCAAAGCTTAAATGATGAATATCAAACTTTACACATTGGATGGACTGGACCTATCAAGGACGAATCCAACAAGGTGGTGGTACCAAGCGAAGATTTATCTGAGGAAGATAAGACCAAATTATCAGGCCTTTTGATGGAAACTGGTCATATTATACCCATCTTTTTGGATAGTAAATCCCGTGGCCATTACGAAGGTTATTGTAAAGAAGGTAAATAGTGATACTGCGAAAAAACGCGTCTTTTTATTCTGCTGTTTTGGTTCAAGCACGGGAAAGCAAAAAAATACTAAACAGGTTTCATGTAGTACTTTGGCCATTATTCCATTATCTGGTCTGGACAAATGATAATGACGGAAGATCTGAAAAGCAATACTGGGAAGATTATGTTGCTGTGAATCGTCAATTTGCCGAAGTAATTGCCGCACAATATCGTCCTGGAGATGTCAGTAAGTAGTAGTGATCAGTGAAAGTTTGTTTTTGAGTAGTACTAAGAATCCTTTGTTTTTTTTTAGTCTTTATCAATGATTATCATTTATTATTGGTACCCGAGATGCTGAGAGAATTAATCCCAGATGCTCCTATCGGACTCTTCATCCACGCTACTTTCCCTAGTTCTGAGATTTTCCGCTGTTTGTCAAGTAAGTACATTACTGAATAATTACGTACGAGATTAAAAAAAGGCTAATATTTTTGATAGACCGCAAGGAAATCCTTCGTGGTTTGTTGGGAGCCAATTTAGTGGGTTTCCAGGTAAAAAAAAAAAAAAAAAAAAAAAAAAAAAAAGAAACTCAACAAATCACAGAGACTAAAATTTTTTTATCAGACATATTCTTACGCAAGACATTTCATCGGTGCCTGTACCCGTGTCCTTGGTTGTGAATCCACACAAACCGGTGTCAACGTCAATGGACACATCGTTTCTGTTGGCACATTCCCTATTGGTATTGATGCCAGCCGTGTTGATCGATTCCGTCAAGAGCCTACTGTTGGACCCAAGATGAATGCTATCCGTGCCATGTATGCCGGTAAGAAGATTATTATTGGTCGTGATAAGTTGGATTCTACCAAGGGTGTTCTCCAAAAATTGCATGCCTTTGAAAAGTTCTTGCACGATTATCCTGAATGGCGCAAGGAAGTGGTCTTGGTTCAAGTTACAACCCCTACTTATGGCGATAACTCCAAGCTAGAAACCAAGGTGTCTGAGCTGGTTAGCCATATCAACGGTCTTTACGGTTCTCTTGAATTTACTCCTGTCCATCATTACTATCAAGATATTGATCGTGACGAATACTATGCTCTTTTGTCTGTCGCTGATGTTGGTTTAATTACAAGCTTAAGAGATGGTATGAACACAACTTCTCTGGAGTACATTATTTGTCAAAAGGAAGCCCATGGTCCTCTCATTTTATCTGAATTTACTGGTACTGCTGGTTCATTAGGTGCTGCTATGATTGTCAACCCTTTCGATTATGCTGGTGTTGCCAAGGCTTTGAACGAAGCCTTATTAATGACTGCTGAAGAAAAGGCTACCCGCCAAACACAACTTTTTGACTACGTGAAAGAACATTCCGCTGCTTATTGGGCTAATTCATTTGTCAAGCAACTTGTTGAAAGCACCAAAAACTTTTCTCTCCAATCCCAGTCTACCCCTGCTTTGAACCCTGACCAACTTATTGAAAGTTATAAGAATGCCAAGGAGCGTCTTATGTTCTTTGATTACGATGGTACTTTGGCACCTATTGTTTCTGTTCCTACAGATGCTAAACCCTCCGCTGACATGATCAATTATCTTCAAGAACTTTGTAATGACCCTCGTAATAATGTTTGGGTTGTTTCTGGTCGTGATCAAGCCTGTTTAGAAGAATGGTTAGGTGATATCAAGAACCTTGGTTTAAGTGCTGAGCATGGCTGTTTCATCAAGGCGTCCAACTCCACACAATGGACAAATGTATTGGAAGATGTTGATATGTCATGGAAGAAGGATGTGATTGAGATCTTTGACTACTACACTGAACGTACTGAAGGTAGTTTTGTTGAACATAAGAAGTCTTCGATTACATGGCATTATCGTATGGCCGATGAAGAGTACGGTTTATTCCAAGCCAAGGAGTGTCAAAACCATTTAGAGAGTTCCGTTGTTTCCAAGATGCCAGTTGAGATTTTGGTGGGTAAGAAGAATCTGGAGGTTCGACCTATGATGATTAACAAGGGAGAAATTGTTAAGCGTATCATGATCCAACACCCCAATTCCGATTTTATTGTTTGCGCTGGTGATGACAAGACGGATGAAGATATGTTCCGTACACTTTCTGCTGCATACTTTACTCGTTACCAAGACCAACTGAACACAGGTAATATTGAAAAGACTTGGGCAGATATCAAATCTTCTCTTTACTCCATCACGGTCGGACCTACCATGAAAAAGAGTATGGCTAACTGGCAAGTCGAATATCCTTCCAATGTAATTGATCTTTTGGCCAAGATGGCACATGCTGACAAACAATAGAGGAAGCCCTGGAGGTTTTTTTATCGAAGAAATATAATATATACACATTTTACACAATCATCTTTTTCTCTCTCTCTTCAAACCCATTTTTTATTTACATAATAAACTTTTCTTTATTGTTTATTGATCCTCTTCAATATCATCGAATTTATGTCCATTGGTGGTAGGTGGTTCAAACACAGATTCCAAATGAGCCAGAGCGGCTTGTTGCATTTCATTTAGTTCCATTTCATCGCTGGGATCGGCATAATATTCCTCTTCGCCATATGCTTCTTGTTCTGCCATAAATTCTTCATCAGGGTGAAGAGCTGCGCATTCTGACATGGCCATATAGATACCTTCCACTATAAGTAAGATAAAATAGAACCCCCTCTTTTTTATTAGCAAATATTACGTGTCATGCCAATGTTCTGACTTACATGCACCACCATCTTTGGGGATCAAGCGAAGCTCTGTGACAGTTTCCTCTAATTCTTGCTCATCCTCTGGTAATTGTTGGTTGGGGAAGAATAAACCGGCATCTAACTGACAGTAAATGTTGGGTTGGCCGTCTTGTCTTGAAATGGCGTGAATGATAATGTCGGGATACTGAACAGCGATGCCTGACTTGGCAGATTCTGAATAAAAATAAAATTGACTACGTTAGAAAAGAAAAGAAAAAATAGTCAGTTAATGGGCATACATAAAAGAAATTAAAACTTACTCTTCACACACAGACAAATCACCAAAGATGGGTCCTTCATGACCAGCCAAAGGAGGAGAAATTAAGAGAGCAGTGTCTTTTTGAACATGGCGAGGCTTTAAAGAAGACACGTTAGGTGCTTCATGGAGAAGTGTAACAGTCATTAAATCTAAAAGGATGAGGAAAAGATCTAAAGGGTGAAAAAGTTTTCGGTTGTGTGTGCTTGGGCTTCTAAATTGGCGGAACACTACACACACTACATTAAAGCATTTAGGATGGACATCGCTCAGGGACGCTTCTCTCTTAAATCAGTAATAAAGTGCATAATCACTGTAAGCTCTCTTATTTATCCAGTTAAATATACTCTATATTTATTATTTACAAGTGCTTTTTTTTGTGATTTAATAGTTATAATATATAATTGGACAAAAAGGAAAAAAAAAGTGTGTAGTGAATTGAATGAGGATGTGGGGGAAAGGGTTGGAATACAAAAACGTTTTTAAGAAAAAGATATAATAAAGGGATTTAGAACTTGTTGGCGCCCTTCTTTCCCTTCATCTTTCTTTCCTTAAGCTTTCTAGCATGTCTGTTACTACGAGGACCACTTGTGGAGATCTTCTTGCTGGTTTGCTCTTCTTCAGTCATGGCATCAGCATCGGTGGTGGTAGTGGTAGTAGTAGCAACTTCCTCCTTATCGTCCATAAAGTCACCAACACTGGGCTTCTTGGCAGCCTCAGCTTGTGCTTCTGCTAAACGTGCAAGACGGGCATCTTCAACAGGCTTGAAAATAGTCTCTCTCTTAATAGCTGATTACATTATTAGAACCAGATCTGCTATTATTCCTTGCACATTATCTTAATTACCTCTGGTTCTCTTCTTTGCTTGAGATCTTAAACTTTTAGCCATTTTGTATAGATTGATTAGATGTTAATAAAGGATTCTAAAAAAAATCCTGTAATATTTTTTTATCAGCTACAAAAAAAAACAGGCAACAGCAGCCACAAAGCAGTCCTTTAAGTGTACCACATTTTCAAATTCCGTCGCTATCTTTCTTAAAATGGTTATTTTGAAGCCCTTACTCTCCCTGGAGCGTAATACTGTCAAAAGTTGAGGTGCTTCTTGTTGGCAACTTAGTGGTATAAGCAAGGCTAGATAAAGTTACTTCGGAATATTTTTTGAATAAATGATGCTTTTGTATGTTACATTTTCATATTTTTCCCTAACTTTTAAAGAGCTGTAGCATAATAAATCAATTTCATTGGTTAAGCGACAGGGATTATAACTTTTTTTTTCCTGTCCAATAACGATTGGGCATTTATAATGAAAAACCAAACTGGCTTAGTTTTTGACAAGGTTCCTTTTTTTGTCTTTTGGCAAGTAACAAATTGATGGCAAATCAGGGCCTGGGTTGCTCTCCACATTTGGACCGAGAATTCTTCTTAACACGTTTGCTGCCTAGGATCTGCTGGCATTATCGGCGTACGCAGAATAAATTGAATAAATTGAATAATAAAATCATATGAATCAATATTCTTCTTAAACTTTTTGCATGTCTCTTGTTAAGGAGATTTTTAATGTTAGACAACACCAGTCTAGAAGAATACATTTTTTTTTCAGATACAGCAAAGGCATATTTGAATGCTTCATCAGAACGAAGTTGGTAAAGTAGTTAAATTATTCAGGCAAGCACTGGCTTTCAAAGACAGTCCGGATAATAAGTTTTCCTTGCATTGTGGTAACTTGCGACAGAGACAGTCTGAAGAGAGCCGATATTTTGAGAGTGTAAAGACCAATACAGTCGGAATGGTGATATCTGGGATATCATGCTTGAAGGAGAGAAGAGATACAAGTCATAATTTGTTTTTTTTTGGGGGGGAGAAGCAATATCTTTTAGATTTGGGTCACTCGTAACACACTGATGTTTGTTGTATTGCCTTTGCATCACGAAGAAAACTGATCAGATCGGTTAGCATGTATAAACACAAACAATGCACCCACCTGGTATTACTTTACTAAGGTGTACTTCTCATGGTAGTATTATGCATCACACATCAGATAAATCTCATAACAATTTATAATGACGCTTCGTATGCGCAAACGGGGATATAGTTAGTTTTGGGCAAGTAAGCTGATAAACAAAGTGTGATATTTTATGTAAAAGGAGAGTAAATAGACTATGCAATTATTAGTGTGCATATGAGTGAGTCACACGAGAAAGTAACGATAAATTGATTGGAGATGGGATGGGAATAGGATTAATGTAGGGTATGGTGGTATATGGTGCAATGTAACTATTCTGATGCATGTTCCTCTAACTGTTCTGACAAGAGAATCTTGTTTACAAATCCATTTCTAGACAGACAATTAGCTTTCTTTTTTTTTTTAAAAAAAACAGCTCTTTCCTTCCGCCTACCTATTTTTAAAGTTAAAAATGGCTTCCTTGAAGCCTTCAGTGTTTCGGATAGGCTGTACTATATCACTTGCTTGGCTACTATCAGAAAGTTATTAGAATTCACGAGGTTCGGGCGCGGAGATGTGTTTACTTACATTGCAGAAACACCTTCGATGGTCAAGTTTAAGAGGCTTGCGTCTTCCTCGAATTGATCACTGAGTTGGCTTTGTTCTAGTACACAATCTGTAATTTGGAAATGAGGACTGTAACTGTCGACACTGACTAATTGAGAAGCAGTCGAATCGAGGTCGATCAAAATTAATTCGTCTTTGGGTACATCGGGGAAAGGATCGCCTTCAAAGACGTAATGGATAATGGGGTGTTTGTAAGTTTTATGTATTTGGTCATGAATAACTACAAATTGAGGTATGTCTAACTGCTGAGAGGAGCTCATTTTTATAAGTGATTAAAAGAAGTGGTAAATCCGACTGAATTATTACGTCGTTTTAGTCATTCACGAAACTAACTAAATTTGTAGACTCTGATTGGTATAAAGAGTATTTGAATAGCGCTAATCTTATGTATTTATATGGGGAGGGGCATGTGAGAAAAAAATAAAATAAGAAACCTATTTCTTTACTCAACCTTTTTTTCTAATTAGCACTACTAAAACATGTTTCGTTATCAACGCAGCTTATTCTCTTTGACAACAAAAAAATCTTCATTGGTTCGGTTCAATTCATCTTCGGTTGGGAATAAAGTGCAATTAAACAATTCTACGACGACGACGACGACGACGACAACAGCAACGGCTACTGCGGCAACTGTCGATAAAGAAGTTATAGCAACAAAGCCAACCGACTCGGAAAACAAAAAGATTGCCTTTGTGCCAGTTATTAATATCCCAGAAACAGAGTTTGCACATAATGCATTCTTTTCGCTTTACAGGCCTTTATTGGGGCTCTCTGACGAAAATGAGACACCCTTTTTCGCACAAAAGACACTGCAGTCACAAGAGGAAAAAGATCAAGAGAAACGTGAGTATATAGTAAGATGGGTAGAGTAAGTGATTAATTTATTATTTTGTGTAGTGGATGTGATGTTGGCAATGTATATGGGTAATTGCAGTCCATTTTTAGAACCCTCGCAACTCCCCCCTCAAACACAAGGAGACGAATGGAAAGACGGGTTTTCAGAAGCATATGACGATGCCAGTAAAGAAACAAGGGAATTCACAGTAACCGAAGAATTTCAAGATTATCAAGATATCTTTGGTCAAGAAGATACAGCAATAAATACGGCTGTTAATACCACAACTAGCCCATTGCCGATGTTTCATATGCCGGAAAGCACGGACGTATTAGATTATTTATCATCAATTGAATCCAACATGAAGCAAGAAAATGCTAAATTAGACGCACAAGATGATTTGAAAGCTTTAAGGTTAAGAAAGGTCAAGATTCTTCAGGCTGTAAGTCATCATAGTAAAAAACCTAGATTTTATGCTACACACAATAGAAATATTCATCAGAGACTTCGACGTTATCAACAAAAATGGAATCTCAAGTAAACAAGAACCCCTCCCATCTTTCATATAAATAAAAAGCACGGAGAGTTAATTTAAAGCATGAATTCGTCGTTTTACCTCACATGATTTTTATTCTCATGAATTTAACAGAAAAAAAAAAAACTCACCTTTTTTTTTTCTTTCTTTATTATTCTACTCTTTTTTTTTTATAAAAATATCAAGATGCCATTGGCTTCGTATAAAACATTTGATCAGGGTTCAACTCTACAGTTTGAAAGTGAACAACACATGTTTGACAATCATTTGTCAGTGCACTTACCTTTAGTGTCTGCTCATCATCATGTATCCCTTAAAAGCAGTTTACAACAAGATAATCCCAAAGAATTAGATAGTATATCCAAGATTCCCTTAAACATTGGTGGACTGGATAATATTTTATTTGTCTCGACCTTAACGCGTGTTCAATCGTCAACAAAGAAACCGATGACCTCCTCTTCTGAAATGAAACGACAGTCATCACAACAGTACATGTCATCAGGCCCTATTTACTATAGCAACAGACGGTTGTCACAACCTGAAACACATCATCAACATGATTATTACAATAGCAGCAGTAGTTGTAGTAGTAGCAGTAGTAACAGTGAGAGAAAAATGTCAATTCAATCTGATGTCGCCGTATCAGCGGAACTGATCCGACGTTTTAGTTCTGGAAGCACAACAAGCACTGTAGTCACAAGTATTTCATCTACCGCTTCTTTGCCTCCACTTGTCGACGCACAGACTACTTGTGAAAAAATGAAATTAACAAATCAACTGGCGATTCCTCTTGATGAACAGGAACCAATTTCAAGTAACATTCCAAATCAACAACAACAACAACAGTTGGGTCATGACCCTGGTCATGCTTGTGACACAATGCACAGCCCCTATACGTTACAGCATAACAACAAAGCGAAAGGGGAAACTGTTGAAGCACATTATAACCCCACTGCAGCACCTGTTTGGGCTGATCCTATAAAAGTACAGGAAAACCCAACAAGATTTGAAGAAGCAACATCTTATTTACGTGAAAATCAAATCTCTTTCTCTTCTTCTTTGCCTCTTTTGAAGCCATGTACCTTTTACTTTAGTGACACCAACATTAAACAACATTGTTATATCTCTGCTGTCAATGCTGTCTTTCAATGTGATACTGTCTGGCAATTTTCTTCTCGTTGGCGTCTATACAAACAAACTTACTCTAAGAAGCCATCTCAGTTATTACCAAATCAAAATTTGTTTTGTTTTATTAACGGCGTTGAGCCCATGTGGGAAGACAAGGTGAACGAAAAAGGCGGCAGGTTAACAATAACAATTCAAAACAATGGTAAACATTTGGATGATGTGTCTGAATGGATTATTTGCGCTTTGGTTGGTGGAGGCATCTATGATTATGGCGTGGTCGGAATTGTCGTGTCAAAAAGAAACAGAGGTGATCGTATAGAATTATGGTTGGATGAATCAAATACTACAAATCAATCTATATCCCAGTTCAAGTATGTTATAAAACATAACTTACTAATTACGTCAAGTCTATTAATACTGAATTTTATATTAGAGAATACCTTTGTACTATATTACCTATTACTTGCCACAATGAAATTAATGCAAGTAGATATAAAAAGCATTTTTAACAAAAATATACCTTATTGTGTAAATACCAGCATATTCATCTCAGTTAAAAATAAATTTCTTTCTTCGTGTGTATATATAAAGAAAACCCTCCTTTTCATCTCCCTAAACAAAAAAAAAACATACAAAATAAAATTATTCATCCTTCTTTCATTATTGTCCCTTCATACTTTTTCTTTTTAGCAATGTCCAAGACTAAAGTGTATGCTGCTAGTATCACTGAGAGCATTAAAAGTACAAATTCAACCTGCCCGCTACCCCAATCTTCCTGCCCTAAACCAGCAAATCAGTTATCACGCGATGTAGCCACTTTATATGAATTGTTTTCAACAGTGCCTACAACTAAACATTATAACGATCAAGGTGTGGTATGTTATTGTTGTGATAGAGAGATTATAAAGAGGAGCAATGATAGTCTTACAACCATCAATGATAATAGTGAAGATGATCGCAAACGAAAGCTCGAGGATATGACACCAAACAATAAAATAACATCTGCCTTGTATTATGGATCAAAGCAAGTCAGAAAATATATGAAGAAAGTCATGACGCGCGAATGTTGGTCTGATATTCTTAAAGAAGGATTTCCTTGTCCACATAAAGGATTGTGGTCTAAAGGATCTAATAGTAAGCGATCAAGTCATAATAGCAGTATTCACAGCTCCCATCACTTTTGTACATTGTGTGATACGGAAGGTCAAACGCAGCACACATTACGATTGACACTCACTCCTTCAACCTGTCGTGCTCAAGACAAAGAAATTTACGGGGAGTATAACGACCTGCAAACCAAGTCTAAGAAAGCCAAAAAAAGAAAGGAAAAGAAGGGGAAGCTAATTTACTTTTAAAAACTTACCACTACCAAATATAATATTATACCCTTGATTTCTTAAATGACATATTTTTAAATTTTACATTATGGAAATAATTTTTTTATTTGATTTATACATTGTTTTGAATATTTTTTTTTTATCTTGTTACATGGAAAGAGAGTGAGTATAGGGGGATATTATTTATTTCTTGGTATCATTCACTGTAAGAGATTCAACCTTGGCTTCTGTGGAAACAACAGGCTCAACCTTCTTGGCAGCAACAGCAGGCTCAACCTTCTTTTCAACGACAGGTTCAGCCTTCTTTACAGCAACAGGTTCCACCTTCTTCTCAACGACAGGCTCCACCTTCTTTTCAACAACAGGTTCTACCTTCTTCTCAACGACAGGCTCCACCTTCTTTTCAACAACAGGCTCTACTTTTTTGGCAGCAACAACGGGTTCCACCTTCTTCTCCACGACAGGCTCCACCTTCTTCTCAACGACAGGTTCCACCTTCTTTTCAGCGACAGCAGGTTTGGGGATAGCAGCAACAGGCTCAGCCTTCTTTTCAGCAACGATAGGCTTGGGAGTAGCAGCAACGGGTTCGACCTTCTTTTCAATGGCAGCAGCAGGCTTGGGGGTAGTAGCAACAGGCTCGACCTTCTTGGCAACGGCTGCAGGGGCATCAACATGTTCGACCTTCTTTTCAGCAGCAACAGGTTCCTCCTTCTTAGCAGGAGCTTCCTTTTTAACCTCAACAACCTTTGTATCCTTCTTAACATTATCAACCTTTGCTTCCTTCTTAACATCATCAACCTTTGCTTCCTTCTTAACATCATCAACCTTTGCTTCCTTCTTCACCTCAGTAACCTTTGGCTCTTCCTTTACTTCACGGGTAGCAGGCTTTGTGTCTGCTTTTTTAGCTTGGGCAAGCTTTGTATCCTCTTGTTTTAATTCGTCAACAGGGAGACTCTTTTGTTCAGAAAGAGCAATCTTCAAGTAGATGGCACGGCCTTCCAAAATAACGTCCTTGACAGACTCCAAAGCCTTAACTTGATCATCTTCGTTGACAAACTCAACAAAACCATAACCCTTGGATCTACCATTCTTCATACGAGCAACGTGGGCGGAGACCAACTTGTATGCGCTAAAGATTTCGTTCAAGTCCTCATCAGTAGTAGCATAAGGCAAGTTAGCAACGAAAAGGGTGGTCTTTGAAGGTTCAGTGATACGAGCAGCCTTCTCGGTTTTCTTGTTTTGACGTTTCTTGTTCTTCTTGTTACGCTTACGACGTGCAGCTGTAGTTTCACCATCACTTTCAGAAGTAGTAGAAGGGGTAATAACTTCTCTGGTCTTCTTGCTCTTTTTAACGGGCACTTCCTTCTTCACCTCAACAGTAGCATCATCGCTATCGTTCTAAAAATAAATATTAAGACCCCACCCATTATTATTATTTTTTGGTGGTGGTACTACTTACATTGGACTTGCTCTTTGCGGCACGCTTTGATTTACGTGTTTTACGCACTTCACCTTCAGCCTTTGGACGAGCTACTTCAACGTTGATCTCACGACCATCCAATGATTGCTTGTTTAAATCTTGAGAAGCCTTTTGGGCCTCTTTTTCAGTTTCAAATTTAATGAAACCATAACCAAGGGACCGTGTTCCTCTGGTGATAATTGTGGTCTCTAAACTATAGGCACCTGTTAATAAAGCGAAGTTGGAATATGTAGCTTGTTTACTTACACTTTACCGGAACCTTCTGCAAAGGCAGTCAAGGTGTCCTTTGAAGTCTTAAAAGACAAGTTGCCTACAAAGACCTGCAGGTAATAAGAAAAAGAGATGATGAGTATTTTCCAAATGAGTTTCTAAAGTTCCTGCTTACCTTATGTTCTAAAGGCTTTTCAGTAAGGACGGTAGCAGTAATAGCAGTGGACATGTTTATATATATATTTTATCTAAAAAATAGAGAAAAAAGGGGAAAAACAAAAGACATGAAAAAATAGCACGGGTTATATACAAATATAACCGCAGCTTTTTTTTTTATGCTTTTGCATTTTGGACCAATAGTATCAAATGTCAAATAGTTAAAAATTGCCACATGACGTGTTTACAAAAAAGTTGTGACATGATATTTTATTGTAAAAAAATAAAAAGAACGTGGTTTTGAACTTCAGCTTCCATGTTGCATGGCCTGAACACGTTTCTTTTGTAATAGTTCCTCTGTGCACACATTCTTTCCACGTAATTTTCTCGAATGACTGCAATCCCATGCTTTGATGCATTTTGGGTAGCCGTATTGCCTTCTTTTTAAAGTCCAGACAAATATTTCTTTTCGGACCAATAGAAATTCATTTTCTCAATGATGACACACGTTATTGATGAACGGCACACCTTTTTTTTTACAAGATGCTCGATTTAAGGGGGTGGTCTATGTTTATTTATTTATTTTTTTGTTTTAATAAGGGTTTATGAAAACTTTGTTTTTTTGATACCTGTCACGTCATTTCTTTCAATCTAAAATTGTTTCCCTTTATACCTTTTTTACCCATCAAATCACGATTTGTACGTTTCTGCATTTCAAATATCGGTTCCGAAATATTCATTGAAAGTAGATGCCCTGTTCCCCAGATATACAGAAGCTGGGCATTCTTTCATAAACCTTAGTTTTAAAGAGCGGCATAATAAAATTGGCCCAAACAGCTAATTGATTGGTAAGCACATCCTTGTCCATGTTGCTTACCCGCCACACACGTTAATTTTCCTAGTACATAGTAAGCCGTTGGTTTTACTATACACTCGCGTAGAGTAATCCGAGTTTTTTTAACCAGATGAAATTTGTCGGGAGATAATATTTTATTATTACCATTTCCAAAATAGTAAATTTAGAGATGAATAGTCGGTATGTTCGTTCCGTTCTTGGCAATCTTGCTACTGTTCTTGCTTTTTACAACAATAGGCTCATCTCTCTTGGGCATTTGGATCATATTGGAAGATGAATAACTGACGCAAAGATGACCAACATGTTTATTACTGGCGGAATTAAGTGATTGAAGCGAGCATATGGCAAAGATAACAAAAACTTCCACCAAGGGAGGACTGCTTCCGTCTGGGTAGGATGACGAAAGAACACCTTAAGTAGCTTTGGAGGAAACTGCATTATTTCCTCTACAATGAGTAATGAACGTTCCCGAAATTGGGACGACGGTTAGTAAATGCTTTTAAAAAGGCTGGATAGGAAAGATTGCTTGTAATTGTTCCTGTGACCATACACACAATGGAGCCTGACAGGGATAGTTATCATTTGTTGTGATTAAGTTCTCCAAGATATGATGATATAAATATTTCTTGTTTCATTAACATCTCTTTGCCATAAGGTATCACAAGGGTGATTTCAGCACTTTAATACATGGATTAAAGGAGCAAAATCAATCTGAATGTTTACACTATTATCATTGAAGCAATTAATCCGAATAATAAACTTTCGTTGACGTTTACATTGGAAATGACTTTAAAATTCTTAGGTATGTACTGCAATATATGACAAATACCTTCTTTTGTTTCTTTGTTCTTCACCTTTACGTTTACCCCATTATAAGGGATTATCCCTTAATAAAATGATTACTTCTCTAAACTAATACTTATCGTCATTGTCCTTTTTTTTTGTGAAATAAACCTTCAACTGTCATCTTAGTAATGAAAAATTTGTCTATTTTTTTAAACGTCTTTCGCATGATCTAAGAAAACATGTTCAAAGGATACACTCATCTATTTTTTTGTCTCAGTACTGAATAATTGAGTTTATAACAACAGGCTTAGAATACATAACAACAATATTGTAAACATGTATAGCAAAACACTGTATTAATTTACTGTGGTATTTTTCGGCTGTTGGGTCCGTAAGCTCTATGCAACTTTATTATTATTTTTTGAAGTATATGCCGTAGCAAAAAACAAAAAACAGTTTGTTCGTCTACCATTTCTTCTTCAACTACTTGTAAAGTGATTAGTACATGTTTGAAATGAAACGAGCAATGTACTTACAACTTGTTGAACACAGGATTTGAAGGCCGCAAATTCTTTTTGACACATGTCTTTTTGAACATCCTTATAGCTTGAAGCAATACATTGACCATAGGCGGTTGCTTGAGCAGGACATGATGCGACACCTTTTGCCAAAACAGCGATTCCCTTTGATTGCTTCATTTGTGTTATATAAGAAAAAAAAAGCCTCCCCCAGGATTTGCCCGAGTGAATTACATTGTCAGACAAGGTGGACGAATCAGAATCCATTTTCAGATCTTAGCTTCTAGACATGATATAATGATGTTCATTGTCGATAGTCTCTTTAAGTCTCCTAGTAAAGAACAAACGAAAAAAAAAAATTAAACCTCCTAGTTGGCACATTGTCTGTCTCGATAAATAGTTGTTGCTGGCAGTTCGTTCCCTGTCCATATCTGCGAGATTATGATCCGCCCTCAGTTTTTAATGTCCAAGATTTCTTTCATGACGGCAAATAGCATATAAACTTTCAAAACCGTAAATATTGAGACATGCAGCACCGTCAAATATAATTTTATTAAGGATACCAAGAAATACCGAATAAAAAGCGGTCCGTAGCGTATATACGTATGGATAAAGCATATTAAGTGTCGAGTTTGAGTAATTGATATACACAGCATCGTCAAATTGGATTTAAACAAGATTACAATAAAATTATCTGAAGAGTTGCTAAAGAGATTAATATCAACGGCTATTGACTAACATATGATTTAGCAGGCTGGATGTATCGGCCTGAAGCACCGATACAAAACGGGTCGCTACAAGCAATGTATAGAAATGGCATATTATAAGTGTCGAGCTAATAATCCGAATACACAGTATCGTTTGCACTTAAATAAGGGTACATAGAGATTGCTATCTTGTCTAATAGCCTTAATCACGAGTCATGATATAAAGAGTGTTTTTTGTTGTCGCACAGAATTCAAAAGAACGTAACCTAAGTAACTACATTTTCAATGTGAGAATATCAAAAGAAAATGAATCTTTTCTCAAATTTAGATCAAATTCTAGTATGAATGATAAAATAAACGTTATCTTGGGGGAGAAGACGAAATATGCTATCAATTACAACGTCAAAAGATAAGATTAAGCGTGTCATGTAACTTGTGGTATGTCACAGCCGCGCAACAGAGTGATAAAAAGATATAACTGAATGAATAAATTTTCAAAATTGTACACTGCGTTATAATATCTAAAAAGAAACTTTCTGAATTTCCCTTTCTCTTAATATAAAAGTTTTTGCAGCTACGTTTTAATGAAGAGCTTTATGGTAACATAATGCTACTTAATAAAGCAAATGGAGATAACAAGACTAAATTTTTATATATCTACATATGTGACTAAAAAAATCGTTCGTCAAGATATGATCAATTGTTTATTTGATCGCCTTTAATTTAACAAATAGAGCTCCAGACTGTTCATCCAAACAGGGGCTTGTTTACGCCGCAATGCATTTGTTGATTATGTAGTTATTTATTCACCCTTTATTTAAAATTAAATGTTAAGAGCATAATTGCTACTTCAGCTGGTAGTCTTAAACATCTATAATGCATCCTTTAAACTGTTCAGGTAAGGGCAAGTCTGCCTTAATTTCAAATAGTTTGCAAGTAACAACAGAGAGCTCTATAAAAATATTATATTTTAGCATTTGTATATTCCCTCCAGTTTTGATATACTATTGATGACCCAAATTAAAAGATGGTTCTATGATTTTCTTCTAAAATATTTAATATATTTAAGCTTTCTTTATAAGCTGTAGCATGATATTTGAATCTGTAAAATTCGTGTTATGTCTAGGGTAATTCTCTCGTGACATTCAACTAGATACAAGTCTTCTTATATAAATGTATAAAAGATGGCTACGACTAGAATAAAAGATTTAAAAATTCATGTACTGATATCGGGGTAAGAATTAAGTTGTTTTAATCCATGCGCGTGCGATAGATACGAGAGAAACGTATGAATACATCAAATAGAAAAAGCCATTTCCGGGATTTCTTGCTAAATTAAAAAGATGTTGCCAATGTATGAATGACAAAGATTGTAACGATGATTATTTTGTGATCACATTGCATCCATATAAAATTTATTCGGGTATCTATCTATATTTTGAAAAAATAAAATAGAAAAATACCTATTGCTGTCTCTATTCAATGAGTGCGCTCTTTTTCTAAATCTGAGTATAATAGTGATAATAATACATGGAACAGGAGTGCTTTTGGATATGATATGTGATGATAAATATTACATAGGATCCGCAAAAACAAGTTTATATCCTGCTTGCATATTCAGGAAAACTTATTCTTCCTGATGAAGACTATCTTCCATCATAGAACATTTACTAAACGCATTTCAATATTCATCAAAGAGGCATCAGACCTATTTTGTGCAAAGTGTTTATCTAATAAAGAAATATTTGTATGCATTGTCAATGCTAGACGCTATCAATATTTATCATTTGTATACAGCTTACAATGTACTGCGATTTTTCTCAAAATGGTTTAGTCTACATAGATGATAACGATAATGATAGTAGCTATCACGATTGATTTTTCTGACCATTAAAGATAGATGACCCTGTTCAATAGGAGGATTAGAACATCAAGTGTTCTTTAGAAATGAGTTATTATTAAATAAGTAGTCTCTGTTGCGATACGGCTTGTTGTAACACAGACCCGGGAATGAGTTGAATGATACATACTTTTTGGTGTATCATTCGTTACGAATTATGTAGCATGATCAATATGAAAGAAGATGACGAAAATGTACGGTTGTGATAGTATGATTTTTTTTAAGAATGACAAGAAAGATAATGACACGGATCTTTTCTTTATTATTTTTATATCGGCATTCGCTTTTATAGGATATATTGTATGTATAAATTATGTTTTGAATAGGACTTGAGGCGTATAACCGCCAAAGTACATGTAAATTTACTTGTGGTAGATCTTTTTTATCATGAAACTCTTTCTCATGGATGATTATATAAAAAGTGATGATAAGAACATCGATAAGATTACCTGCTTTAGTGGTTACACACATTGTAAAAGAAAAAAATTATAATAAACTACAAAACTAGAGTTTCAACTCGCTTTGCTGAGACCTCAATGTGCATCAACCAGGAATAGAGCTAGTACGTTTATGATCAAACCAGAAGATCCTATTTTTTTTTTAAAAAACAAGACGAAAAGCTTATCCGTAAATAATACGAAGAGAGGATGAAAATCCAGGGCTGTTACAAGATTGGCCCAAATCAAATAAAAGATAGGGAAATAATAGACAGGACAAAATGATAAGTGAAATTTCTTGCCAATTTTGGTTATTTACTTTATATCGTTTTTATATATCAGTTTTTACACATGACCCCTTGTGTTTGACCCCTCCTTTTTTTTTTTTGTAAAAAAACATATAAAAGAACAGCACCAGAACACATCAATGTCGTAAACCTCTTTTCCAATAACAAAAAATGGCTATTGTCTCTAACCCCAACATCCTCGCTAAATACCTTGCCCTTGGCCAACACGATAAGGTCCAAGTTGAATACATCTGGATCGACGCCAAAAATGGTTTAAGATCCAAGACACGTACTCTTGACTTTGTTCCTAAATCACCCAAGGAATTACCGGAATGGAATTATGATGGCTCTTCTACTGGTCAAGCTGAAGGCCATGATTCTGATGTACTTATCCAACCTGTTGCTATCTTTGCTGATCCTTTCCGCGGTGGTAACAACAAGCTCGTTCTTTGTGAGACTTATAATAATGATGGTACTCCTCATTCCACCAATTATCGTTATGCCTGTGAAAAGACAATGGCAGCTCATGCTGATTCTAAGCCTTGGTTTGGTATTGAACAAGAATACATGTTATTTGACCCTGAGACCTCTAAGCCTTATGGTTGGCCTATGCATGGTTTCCCTGAAGCTCAGGGTAAGTACTATTGTGGTGTAGGTGCTGGTAAGATTTTCGGACGTGATATTGTTGAAGCTCATTACCGTGCTTGTTTGTTTGCTGGTGTTGAGATTTCTGGTGTCAACGCTGAAGTTGCGCCTGGTCAATTTGAATTCCAGGTGGGTCCTTGTCTTGGTATTGAGATGGGTGACCATCTTTGGATTGCTCGTTATATTCTTGAACGTGTTGCTGAAGATTTTGGTATCATTGTTTCTATCCATCCCAAGCCTATCAAGGGCGACTGGAATGGTGCAGGTTGTCACACCAACTTCTCCACCGAAGAGATGCGCCAAGAAGGTGGTATTGCCGCTATTGAGCGTTCTATTAAGAAGTTGAGCCTTCGTCATTCTGAACACATTGCTGTTTATGGTGAAGATAACGATCAACGTTTGACAGGAAGACATGAAACTGGTCACATCAATGATTTCAGTTACGGCGTTGCTAATCGTGGTGCCTCTATTCGTATTCCTCGTCATGTCGGTATCGAAGGAAAGGGTTACTATGAAGATCGTCGTCCTGCTTCTAACATTGATCCTTACAGAGTTACCAACATTATTGTTGAGTCTACTTTCATGCCCGATGCTTAAATTGGTATAATTTTACTTTACCTCCCTTTTAACCTTAATATTGTATATGCCACTCTTACGGATACACATTCCTATTGTCTTATAAAGACCTAAATACTATGTATACCATTTTCTCTACATGTGAATTGTAAAAACCGAATAAATTTTTCTATTTATCCTCTTCTTGATAGTTTCTGCTAATGAACAGCAACATTGTTGAACGGTGGTTCAATTTGAGCGTTCTTGAAAAAGCAATTTTTTGTTATTTGTGTTTTATTCGTTTTTTTTTTTGTCTGCAACGCATAATGAGTGAAGGGTTAGAAGAGAAAGGCGGGTAGTTATTAGTGATACTCAATAAGTTTGTCATCAATAGATTAAGTCAGGAAGATTTTCGTAAATTAATGGCGACACCACGTCGACCTAATGAAGACGATTCACACAATACGTTTAAAGCTCCAGCACCGTGAGTCTAATGTGTTTACGGCGAAAGATTAAAAGAGGCTAACCATGCTCATGTAGAAAGAGTTCAGGTGCGATTTTCGCTAAACCAGTTTCGATGCGAAAAAAAAAGTAAGAAAGTTAAAGGACATTCCCTTTGTTTCCACTCACGCTTTGTTGTTTTAGCTTCAAAAAGAATTTCAAAAAAGAGAGTGCCGACGATGAAGAGGAAGAAGAAGAGGAAAAGATCAATTATCGTGATCGAGCAGCCGAAAGACGTCAGCACACGAACGATCCTTCAGACGATTCTCAACTTTCAACTGAAGAATTACTACAACGTACTCAAATGGAAGCAGGTCAAGAATTAGATGCCAAACAATTATACGAACAATCGAAATACTTAGGCGGTGATGTCAACCATACCCATCTCGTCAAAGGCTTAGACTTTGCTCTACTGAAAAAGATTCGAACCGATCTCAGCAACAAAAAAGAGGAAAAAGAAGAAGACGTAGAGGAAGATGTCATAACAGAAGAACCAATGGACGTAGATGCCCAGAACGATCAGGATCTCGACCAAGTACTAGAGAAATTTGAACGAGGTGAAGCAATGCTCGATGAAGAAGTTACTCCTGTTGAAGAGGATGCAGATAAACCCAAATTCTTTACCTTGATGGCTAAAAACATACACGATCAAATTATGCAACAATGTTCAGATGAGCCAACAGCACGCGTAGAATTATTTGAGCCGGGTAGGATGGCTTTTGTATTTGAATTGGCCGACGAGGTAGGACATTACTCGGATGCATTTGCTATTCCCACAGCCATCATTCGAAGTAAAGCTGATATAACCGCCAAATTATCAAAATCAGGCTGGTCAGAAGATACCCAAGCAGAGACGAAGCTTGTGATTGAAAAAATCTCTCACGTCATGCAAGCTGTCAGAAGAGGAGATCGACATCATGGTTCTGTAATCACACCTAAAACTACAAGAGAACTTACCAGTCAACCAATAGCCATGGTAGAAGATGGATTTATGGGTGATATTTTTGCTGATGCAGGTCGTGATTATGAATTAGACGAAACCACTACAGAGACAAATAGGACAACTACCCCCAAGAACTATTTTCAAGGACTAGCAATAGATGAGGAGATGGCAGAAGTTGTCAATAATGATGAAGTAAATGCGTTATTATCACAAGTAACAGGTAGATCAGGGGAAAAGGAGGAAAAAGAGGAGACTGAAGAAGGGACGAGCAAGCGTAGAAAATATGAGCAAGTAGAATTAGACGCTGATGCAGCTGACATTGATATGTTTGGACTTAGTTCATCTGCACTTCCGACCTCTTTTGAAGAACATAAATCCACCGCCTATCAATCTGGCGATGATGATAACGATGATGATGTGGATGAGACGGAGACAAAGGCCTCTACACAATTTGTTGATCAAGGTACAAATCGTAATAAGAAGGCTCAGTTAACACGATGGGACTTTGATACTGAGGAGGAGTGGCAAAAATACAAGAGTACAATTGAGATTCATCCCAAGAGCGCTTTCCAATTTGGTGTTAAATTAGGCGATGGTCGTAAAAGGAACAGGGAAAGAAAGGGCATGAATGATAAACAGCGTTTAGATCGTGATTATCAACAAGTGAAGAGTATTATGTCAAAAAAGTATGGAAAATCGCTTGATAATTAATAAAAAAATGTCGTATTTACATGTGGGATAAAAAAAAAAGAAAAAAAAAACCAGTCTGTTGTTGTGTGGGGGGAATATACTATCTTGGTGTAGTTGAATTATATTTTTTTGAAGATCTCAACATCCAAGGATGTTTTAATGCGTCGTCAGGTTTTAAACGCTGTTCAGGATCCCAATGCAAACACTGAGAGATAAAGTTCAAGAAGTTTTCATCCGAAGTCTTCAGAGCGTGTTCCAAAGTTTTTGTACCTGGTCTTCGCTTTCTACCCTTTGAGTTGGGTTGTATACGTGGATTTCCTTGAGAATCTAAAATCAAAGTTAAAAATCAAATTCTATCTAGTAATCATGCCCTGAAATATTTACCAAAAAACAATTTACGTCGCGTACTCTTTTCAATAATGTACGAACTTGGTACATCTTGTACTTCCATGATACATGCTAGCTGCTCTTGTTCATTTTCACCAGGAAATAAAGGATAGCCTGTATGTAATTCTGCCAAAATACAACCAACACTCCACATATCAATAGCCATACTGTATGTCATTCCCATAATGACTTCAGGCGAACGATAGAATCGGCTTTGAATATAAGTGTACACTATTAAATCCTGTTAATTCTTGTTTCCCTCTCTCTCTTAAAATCAGCTTCTTTTACCTTTTTCACTTTCTAGACATGAACTACCAAAATCAATTACCTTGATTGTACTTTTTGTTGGATGCTTGAGTAGAATATTCTTTTTAAAAAAATTGGCGTAAGTCAAGATAGTCTGGAATACAAAATAAAAGTGAAAAATTACCTCTGGCTTTAGATCACAATGAATTAATTTGTGCTGTTGTAACAATACCAGTGAATTTAACAGTTGCATAGCAAACCGTCTGATTAAACCCATACTAAAGCCTTGAAAACCATTGCTCTTGATAAATTCGTATAAATTGATACTAAGACATTCAAAAGCGATACAGAGATGATTACGAAACATGAAATGACCAGTCATTCTAACATTATTATGTTTATCTTCGGGATCCTGAATAAAATAAATAAATAAAAAGAAATATACTATTCTTATTTCTCTACTTACCCAATCGATTAAGTCTTGCAGAATCTTGACTTCTACTAAGGCTTGGGCATGAAATCTCTTTTTATTACGGATAATTTTGACGGCTACAGTTTGACCAGAACGATGATCAAAACATTTAAGCACTTGGCCAAAAGAACCTTTGCCCATGGTTTCCAAAACTTCATAGCGGTAATCCAAATGATCCCTTAATTGGACAAGATAATCGCCCTTTTCATCATCATAACCAAAATTGCAAGTGGCGTTAGAAGGGGTAGCAGGTCTCTTCTTTGCATGATGACCAACAAAATAAATACTGTCGTATTTAAGCATCTCCATCTTTTCGTAAGAGGTTAGGTTAAATTGATATAATTTTTGTGCTGCTTCTGGAGACATGGCTACACGCATCATGACCTTGGGATGATCTGATACTTTCTTGCTTGGATCCTCGGTCGAATTCGTGGTTGTACTACTTGTGCCTCTACCACGAAGAATAATTTCAGATGTTTGCCCTTCTACTTTACTCTTTTCCATATGAGTTGTCCATGTTTTACTTTCATCCACTAAACCCTGCAAACGTTCTTGTAAAGTAGATACTTTACGTTTGGAACTTGAGCTTGTCATTGTTTTGGTAGAGACTGAAGTAGCTAAACCACCCGCAGCGGGTCTGGTACTGGTAGTAGTAGAATTGCTTATCTTGTTGCGTGGGGTGGTTAAGTCTTCGGAACTCTTATTCGTTCTGGCTGATACAAGCTTAGAAGTGGATATCACCGTTGAACTTGATTTTGGTTTACGTAGTTGTTGCTTTAAGCGTGAAGAGTTGGTAGAGGTGATAATAATCTTGGGGTCATCATCAGAACTACTTTCAGTTGGATTATTTTTTTGAACGGGTCTTCTTCCCTTTGTGGTAGATGAAGTGGTTTGTAAGGTTGCAGGTAAAGGAATTCGAGTAGGTGTTTTGGATACAACAGTGCGGTTCTTTGTTGTTGGTATATTTAATGGTTCTACTTTCATTGGAGGTAGAGATAGTGGTACAACAGAAGGTTGCGTAGCAAGACTGCCAGGCAAAGTCTATTGGATTGAAGAAAAAAAAAAAAAAAAAAAAAAAGGGAAGAGGAATTAATGTAAATCTCCTATTAAAAATATAAGTTATTAATGTACCTTTCCCCTTTTTCTTCTAACAACAGTAGATGTAGTGATGGTAGATGCATTTAATGTAGGTTTGATGTTGGTGACTTTTTTCCCACTAATGACAGTAGGGCTCGTTGTGATACTCAGTTTAACTTTACGTTTCACTGTAGCTGGTTCTTCAAAACTATTATTCTTTGTGGTGGGTTTCTTGATACTATTCATGTAATCATCTACAGTTCTTATATCTGTTTGATTCTGTTGAAGTTGATTGTTATGATGATTCATTCTTTGTTTTTGTTGTAACGAGGCCAACGTGCTTAATTTTCTTGACCTGGTTGCCTCGATGGTTGTTGGTTCCTGTTCATGTCGTGTGGTTGAAGATGTTTTTCTTACGTGAGATGAAGAAGCACGTGGAGTTGTGCTTGAACTGATTCTAGGTGATTCAATTTTTGGTGTAGCATTTGACATGGTAGATCTTGTTGTAGTGACACCAGAAGAAATATCATGTCCCAAATGAGCGGTGGATAACTTTCGAGTGGACCGTTGATTTGCTAATTCAGCCAACGAAAAAGATTTCTGCGGTGCTGGTTCTGGTGAGGCCTTTGCCGATAATAAGGTATCTTTTTCAAACATATTCCTTAACCGCAAGTAAGAAGCAGATGGACTCTTTTCGCCACTACTGGTCTCTGGAGAAGTAGTAACAAGAGGATCTGAGTTATAATGTTTTGTTGTTGATAATCTATTTAAATTCGAACAAGATGATGATGACGATGATGTGTCGATGAGTTCCTTCCATTTATCCATTTCTTCACTCTTTTTTACGGTAGGTTGATTTCTCAATCGATAACTAGCCAATCTCTTTGCAGAAGCTGCAATTAAACCTTCAAGGTCCTCTAGGGTAGCATCACCCAAATCAATTTTACCGCTACTGTTTGATGTTTCTCTGCTTTTTCTAATTGATGATGATGTAGAGGAAGAAGGTGACATGAATTCTTCCGATATCATATTAGGACGACGTGAAGTAGTTGTTACAAGTTCCTTTCGCTTTTGGTTCCAATTAGCTGTTTCGGTTACTTGTTCCTCTAATTCCTTTAATTGCCTCATTCTCTCTGCTTGCATTTTTTTTCGTTTTTCGGCATAAGAAGATTGCACTTTATTCCAAGGCTCTTGAGACAAAGAATTGGTTGAAGACGAGGCTGAAGTTGGTATAGGCTCATCCAAGTAGGTTGTGTCCATAATGTTATTTATAAGAAAAAAGGTGTATTGTCTACAGGTAATTAGAAGACAATGGGGGATAATTACAAAGTAACTTACATGTTTTGTTAGAGCAGAAAAAAGTCTAATGGTACATTCCCACGTACTATTGATGCTACACCTAATTCAATAACAATAACAAAGAAAAAAAAAGATAAGGAAAAAGAAATAAAAATAAAAACGATTGTGGTGGTTGTGTGTATGTGTGTGTGTGTGTGTATTTGTGTTTAGCGGACTTTTCCAAAAAAGCATGTTTTTATTTCTCTCCTTGAAATCCGTTGTCACTCTGAGCGCACACACTCTTACACAATGACCATTCAGAGAAAAAGGAAAATGTGCATGTGATTTTTTTTTTTTTTTTTTTTTTTTTTTTTTTTTTTTTTACTGCTCTCCTTGATAACTTACCTCCTCTTTTTCCCACCCAATCTTAAATTACCAATATTTCATGCATGAACAATGTTAACAGTCACTATTAATATAACATTGATGACGACTAGATGCAAGCATTTCATCATTGTTGTCTCTTTCTTTATACATTTCTCGCATGACAGCTATCATATGTACTACTATTAAGCTTTAGAAGCATCTTGCAGCAGATTAACCACAAGTTCCAACTGGTTAGAAAGTGATACGCGGCAAGCACTGTTTCGTTACATTCATATATTTAAAATAGTTTGTAGTTAGTAGTGCTCGTGTCTTTTTTGTGGCTGTGTTGCAACGTAATAAAAAGCATGAAAAATAAAATAAGAACAGTTTCTAGTTTGATAGACACATGACTTGCACCAGCGATTTAAGGTATTGATTGATCACATATAATACTTAGATAAATAAAGCCTTTTTAAATATACCCTCTACAGTAATAGTTTTCTATTTACGATAATAGCAGTTTTCTGCATGATGTCTGTCTACTGGGATTTTTTTTTTTACTTAAGCAAACTTGCCCAAGAAGAATAAAGGCGCATAAGTACGTATTGTTGGATGTTAAAGAAAAAATTATGCTACACGTTTTATCGTTTTGAGTGAATGAAATGTATGTTTCCAACCCCAGACTGTTGTAGTTAAGGCCATCGATATATAAACATATTAGCTCAAAAAGCGTAGCCAAATCAAGCAGTAGATGTATAAGAAGAAAGTGAGCCAAGAGGGCTGCAAAACTCGCTGGTTAAAATAATCGCTGTAACGCGTAGTCACTGAAGCATGCTATTCTTACTAAGTCACGTCTTCTTATATCCCCACTTTCGGGCACACGATATGAATCGTTAAAGTTGCTGACTTTAATCTCTCCCAGTACGGGTAAAATTATATACTTTTTGTCTTAAATAAGATACCATCGCACATTGTTCGATAAGATGGATAAAATAAATTTTCTCTATCCATTCGACAGCTCTATTGGTGTCATCCCAATTAGTATTTGTTCAAAAATTTTAAGGTGAAAATTATTAAAACACTGACAGACACTTACAAACTAAACACCAAGATGAATTCGGCATTCAGTATGTGACTTCCCTCACAGTATTTCTAAGGGGGAAATGTTATAAACAAAAATAGGGTTAGCTAAATATATGATCAAAAACACGACTAGTTTGTAAAATGTAGACAGCTTCTGTATTTCTATTTCTCTTTGTATTCTTTATTCTCTGTGTAACATCCTTTCGGTACTATATACAATGTGTTTCACCAACCGTAAATAACCGACTGATTTGGATCACTCTGTTCAACTCTTTTATTCCCGTAGTAAACTCATATTTGTTATTCAGCATCTATAATCAGATGAATAATACATATATGCACTTTTCACCCCGTCTATTCACGCTACTAACGTCACACTTCTAGACCTTGCAGTTTTATTACATATTAGACGAAAAGGCGGGAAAAGAGTTAAATGAATTTACATATAGACATTGTCAAAAAAAAAAAAAAAGATTACATGTGATTAAAAGATACGCAGAAAAAACAAATATCTGCCAACCGGACTCCAAACCATTTACATCATACGAGTAATTTTAACAAAGGAGAAATCAATGGTGTAGACGTTGTCGTATTGTTTCTATCTGACGACTGGTTAAACGAAAGGGTTGAAACAATAACTCCACAACACACCGCATTTGGAGATTTGTTGTCTGACTTGACTGTATTCATATAAATGTTTTTGCCATGGTAACATCCTGCATGTGGAATTCATCATCTGTTTCTCTGATGAAAGCAACCAATGAAAACAAGAGAATATTACCTTATCGTGAGAACTTTGTAAAACCTTGCATGACCTTTTTCAGAGACAGAAAAATATAAAAAGATTTTTTTTCTTTTCGAAAAACTGTCCTCGCTTATTATTTTTTAATTATTTAACAAAACATACTATGAAGAATTTTTCATCCGAGCTTATAGAGTTGGTGGGAGAGCATTGTTTGTCGTCAAGAGATCTTGCTTGTTTGTCCCTTGTGAATCGACATTTTTATTCATCTATCATTCGCTTACTATACAGAGATGTCATGATAAATAACCCTAGACAGTATTTATCTTTTAAGGCGATTGAGAACAAAGAATTAAAGAGGCTTGTACGCAGACTTGATTTTTCAAGTTATACAACAAGAGGGTCGCGATGGTCGGAAGAAAAGGCGAAATCCATCATATTAGGTCAAGAATTGGCGCTTTTGATTGGTGGTTGCAATCAGTTGAAAGAATTGTTTGTTGGTGAAGAAATGATGCATGCCTTTGTGTCACACCAAGTCATTCGTTCTATTTTCAACCAGGATAACAAACTTTCAACTATTGATTTTACTGGCTTCTGTGATCGTAATTTTACCACTGTCATGGCTGACTTCTTTAAACCCGTAACTCTGTCCAAGTCTGAACTAAAGCACTGTGACTTTTCACAAGCAGATACTCTTACAACAAATAACTGGTCTGTCCCTCCAAGGCTTCAAAATATATCTTTTTACATGTGTATGGCTTTATCTCAAGAACACTTCTTTATACCCTTCTTTGAGAAATTAGCAAAAAATGGGAATCGGCTTTCAAGACTAGATTTAGGCTATACACAAATCACGAGTGATGTATTCACTTATCTAAAGGGGCAAGAATCCTCATTAACGCATTTAAATTTGCAAGGATGTCACTCGCTTACATGCTGCTCGCCATTAATAGACTTTATTAAGGGATGCAGCAACTTGGTTCAGCTAAATATAAATATGGAGTTCAATGGGATTGGTGGATCTAGATTTTGCCACGAATGTATATTTACTATATTAAATGCAACCAATCACAGGATAGAGTCTCTGGATATGGGAGGACATGTAAATTTCGATGATTCCATGCTCATCTCAGAATTCCCAAACTTGACCCAACTATCGTTGACCTACTGCAAGAACATCTCGATAGAAAAACTTGTCTCCCTAAACACACCTAAACTTTACTACCTTAATCTATCACGTACACCTTTAACTATGGACATAGATCAACTACCTCGTGTCTTAGAACAACTAGCCCATCTTAAAGTGATAGAAATAAGTCCATTTACACCAAAGAAATATCCACCCGTTATCAACAAAAAATGGAAGTTATCCACTCATGGAAGAAGAACATTCTACTCTCAAGGTAACATCAATCCAATGTACGCTTATTCAAAAAAGTTACTCTTGCTGGACAATCAAGTACTATCACCCATGGTGAAATACTGGTGTTATTCATATTAAAATAATAATATTAATTTACTTACATAATAAAACATTTAAACTTACTATACATATAACTAAGTGCGTCTATTTTATTTATAATATTTACATAGGTTTATCCTCGTTGTTGTTGCATTGCTTGCAAGTTTTTTCGGGCAGTTGTAATCTGGGCCAAAACAGCTCTCTTCAAAAACATAGTACTCGATTGACAGATGGTATCGATTGTATCAATGGCGCCAAACTCCACCAGCGCTTGGGGATATTTACTAGTTAGAAGCAATAACAATTGCATGGAGGATTTATCCTTGGGGTTTGTTTGTACCACCGTTTGTATAGGTTGGACAAGGTCAAAAAGGCACGTTTTGTCCAGTGCAACAAAAGGTTGTGTGCTTAAAATAGAATTTAAAATTTGGAATATCAGATCATTCCATGGCCTAAGATATCTCCGGGAGGTCAAAGATACATTTTCGTGATTAAAGTACATTTCACCGTCTGAAAGAATAGCCCTAAGCAAAATTACAACACCTTATTATTATGGACGGGGCACTAATACATCAGTGTAACTTACTGTAGTAACAATAGTCGTTGTGATGCATTCAATGATTCGCTGATTATCTTTACAATCACTTCAGTCTGAGGCCTTTTCAAGTCCGACTGAAATAATAAAGGTAGAACCAATCCATCAATGACAGACTTTCCTTCACACTTTGCAATTGAAATGATACTATCCATAAGCAACCTCGGGGCCGTCGATGTTAAATCCGTAATCTAACAAAAAAAACCTTTTATTTTTTAGTAAATTGTACGTGGATAGGAGCGTTTTATTACCTTTGTATATGTTGCTGCATTAATAAGATATGTGATCTTTGCACTGGACATGTTTTCTATGCCCATAATTTCTTTAAATAAATCTGCCACTATATCATCAGGCCATTGCTTACAGTCTAATGAAGGCATAGCTATCTTAAGCTATTACAGAAAAAAAAATTAATACGCTTGCTTTATCGACCCTTCCCTCTTCCACCATCAGACACATTTTACGTTTAAAAATGACAATTGAACCAAATTATGTAATAAATCTGATCTTTTTTCGTTTGATATCTGTGAGCTAGAGAGAGTAAACAACTTTAAAGAGTCAAGTAAATCTGTAACCGCTGTCAGGTCGATTTCCTCTTTCTGACTTGATTCAGATATCACTCTCTCAACGGCTCTCTCTTTCATGATGGGCTGGATAGATTCATTAGTAGTGTGTTTGTATGGTTAAAAGATAACATATATTGATGCCACAGAGTAAGTATATTTTCTTTTAAAAAGGATATAATTATCGGTTCCAGCAAATCTGGTCCATTCTGTTTGGTAAATGCTAATTCAGCTACGCAATGTATAAATGAAGTTAAACTTGTGTATAAAAGTTTATAGTGGACGGTCAATGAGTGCTTTACTTTGGGTTCTTTCACCATTCAAGTCAAATATATTAGTCATGTTCTTGGAGAATCGGAAGCCACTGCATCGATTTAGTGATTGTTGTATTGCCTCCAGTTTTTTCTTTTTTAATTCGTGAATCGACATTGACATGAGATATATTTGGTGAAAGAAGATTTTATTGTAATTTTTAAAAATATAAATTATAACTCTGACAGCTTGCCAGCCTCCCAAAATTTCTCAAATTCTTGACGTGCGTGAATGATACCCTTTTGGAACTTGAACTCACGAAACCATTCAGGTTTATCTATAACACGTTTATGCAACCATTCAATATAATAAGGGGTCTTTTCGTATGTACATCTAGCTTTTTTAGAGTTGATGGTAACGAGGCCTTCATCGGAAACTTCGATTAATGCTTTGGTTACTTCACGATATTCTCTGTATACCAGATATTGCTCATTTTTGATCTTAAACATAAAGTCATTTCCATTTCGTTTACAACGAACAACAGCTCCCTCCACCTCTCGTCCATCGTATAGCCCTGTTTGCTGCATTTCGTCTCCGTACTGCTTTACTTCCTTCATCGTCTCAAATACTTTATAATCTGTCACATGGAAACCAAACTCTATCGCTGTTTTCTGTACAAGATCGCTTGGAAGGGTATGTAATATATCTGTGTTATAGTTGATGCCATGAAGATAAAGCCCACGTTCTTTGCCTGTATATGGAAGGATATGCTGTTCAAATTCATCATCACACAACTATTTTTGTATCTTTTGTTTAGAACTTTTTTCGAATTACAATTTTTAGCATATATCCATGTATTATTTACCTCTGCAACCAAGGTGACATTCTTGTCAAAAAGCCATTCTGCTAAATCACGCTCAGTCTTGCCCACCGAATCTAGATGTTTTAAAACCCAGTTGTAGCCAACACCAGCGTGTGCTTGACTGTCCGTCTTTATGGCAGGAATTGAATGCTTCGAGGTCACAATCACACTTTCTTTGGATAAAGCAGCAATAAAAATAATACAGCCATTCTCTTTTGCTGTAACTTCGTAAGGACCCACTGTATCTTTTTCAAGGTAGGGCCACTACAAGAAGTTTATAAGTATGTGTATAAGATGACGTTTAATTTTAAAAAAATACCTGGGTTGCTGTTGTCTCAAGCACGTTGAAGAACTTGTCATAACCCCTGACCTTGATAAAATAATCTCCATCAATATTTTGTGTAAAGATTCCCCGAGCCATGGTAGGCAATGACTCAGCCTTCTTTTTATACGCGCTTTCTCTCATGGTCCAGCTGGTCCACACTTGCCCATTTTCCAATGTAAAGTCTTTGGATCGTAAGTCTTTGCTGGTGCTTTTTTTGATCTCATAAAGTTTTTCAACGACATTTTGTATCTGATCTTGATTCAGATCGATGGTTGGAATATTAATGTTGGCCATTTTATTTTTTGTGTATGAAAGAAGTGAATTACTTTGAGCACACTCCGTTAATTTTTATTTTTATAGACAGTCTAATAATTACTGCGGCTTGACATTTGTGTCACTATGCGCGATCGGTCCCTGTTTTTAATAAGGTATTCATACACTTCATGAGTCATCCATGCACGGCTGTAAAAGGAAAAAAAGAGGTATCTGCCCCCCCTGTTTTTGAGTCAATCGCCAAGTTTTTTTTTGAAGTAGTTTGAGTAAAAATAAGAAATAGCATTTGGTTTTATTAAATTAAGAAAATGGGGTATGTATAAAGCTTTAAAAGCTGTAACAGTAATTGGAATATCGTATGTACAAGTAGTGTGTTTTTTTTGAATAGTGCGTTATTTAAACTCTGAATCTGTAATCCAAACGGTTCGATCCCTCATCTTTTGTATTTTTGTTGTATTCCTTCTTTTCACTATCGGTAAGTGCGTTCCACTTCTTTTCACGAGACTTGTTTGTCAATAAGTATCGTGTGTGTTGGAAGGCCAGAAGCAAGGCGGATGCAGCCATAAGCCCAAAGTTAATCCAGTTACCTTTGAAAAATCTGGGTGAATCGTTTTGTTCTAGAATATAAAGTTATGTTAGTAAAATATCTTTCTTTCTTTTTCACAAAAACCTACGATAGATTTGAGAACCAGGAATACCACATAAATTAGCAAAACCAACAATAGTACCCAATGCAATAGTACGTTTTCCATTAGGCGCTAAATTAGTTGACATCCAAGCAATATGTAAACCGTGGAAAGAGGGCGTGGAGGAAATGAACAAGGCAGCAACATAAAAGCTCCAACGACCGCTGTTGTTGCTCATAAGTTCAAGAGCGAGGAAACCAGCCATTGACCAAACGCAGCCGAAGATAGCATGTAAACCGTAACTTCCTCTCTTGTCTGCACTATTCGCAACAAAAACCGAAACGATAAGACTGATAATAAAAGGAGGGACTGTAAGCAAGTTACTGGTAGTGACTGGGAAACCAAAATCTTTGATCAGGGTAGGAAGATAAGTATTCACGGGAGTGTTAGGCATCATACTAATATTGAAACATGTGAATAAAAAATTTAAATTTTACAACTTTTTTTCGACTTGCTATTATTACCTTAAAAATGTGATGCAAATGTGTGTCCATAATTTGGAATCGAGCGCAGTGATCTTGACATCATGCCATGTAAGCTTTTTCTGTTGGCCAGATTTGGAGAGATCGTCACGAATAAGTCGGGTAACAGCAATATTGGCTTCGCGCTCGGTGAACCATCCATTTTTACCACGAAGATATCCTGATGTTTTAAAAGGACTTGCAGGAATATACAAGCTATTTAGAACAGAGAGAGAGAGAATATTTATGTATTAGCCAACAGTAGAAAGTAAAAAGTAGTACAACCAACTTACAAAGCAATAGCGCCAATGACATGAGTGAAAATACCATCAATGATAAAAAGCCATTGCCAACCATAGAGACCACCGACACCAGATAAATTAAAGATACCGAACGAAATTAAACCAGAAAAAGCAGAGGCTAACCACTGAACAGCCCAAAACCAAGTTAATCGTGTAGCCAACTCAGAGCTCTTATACCATGTGTTAAGGTAAAGTAAAGATGCGGGAATGAATCCTGCTTCAGTAAATGCAATAAATAAGCGGACAATAAGATAACCTTTGAAATCCTACAGTCAAAGAAAAAGAGTCAGCAAACATTTACATAAATAATACTAGCTTGTCCTACCTTCATGAAAGCGTAAGACCATGTGACAACAGCCCAAGCGGACATGAGCCATACCATCCATTTGTGAGGGCCAAAGTATTTTGCAATTGGGGTTGTGAAGAGTGCAACGATAGTAAATACAAGTGAATACACAAGTGTGGCAGTATTGATTTCAGTGATACCAAAACCCAAATTAAGAGGCAAATTATCTGAAATAGCGTTTGCTGTACGATTAAATGAAGCAAGTCAGTATACGAGCATTTAGTTGATCTATAACAGAAAAACAAAACTTACAATTATTGGTTCTGTCCATGTTCAACACGAAATCCATCAAAAGAATAAAGGGCATGAGTTTAACGTCAATAGCACGTAAAACCTTCTTTTCTTCTTCTTCGGTCCATTGGAGGTCAGGAACATAACCTTCGATATCAAATGTGTTCTCCGAACTTGTGAAAGATGGACTGTCGTGCTTTGATTCATGGTCCAGTATATGAATAACCTCTTTGTCATTTGAAATTTCGTTCGTCGTTATTTTTTCATCCTTTAAGTAACCCATTTTGAGGTTTTATGATAATTTTTTAAATAAAAGCAATGTAAAGTAATGATAGGGAAAAAATAAAACCAAGGAAAAAAAGTTTGGTTTCTTTTATACATGGTTTGAATAATCTAAATTTGGTAGTTGCCAAAAAAAACGACATAATCATCATTGAGCTGGCGAATTGTGCAATACATATTCGCAATAATGTGAAATGGGTTTGCATTTCCCAAAGTCCGGGCGACAATGCGCACAAACAGCAAAAAGAAAAAAAAGAAAGCGGAGTGTGTGTTAATCTTAAGAATGAAAAATGGTTAAATCGCAATTGCTTCTGTCGTGATTCGATATTGCTCTATCGCAATCACTATTATTACTATCTGCTTTATATTATGAAATGTACTATTAAACTCTTTTGCAACGTTGGGGCTACCTAATAAAAATATATCATGGTTTAACGACATTCAATGACGACTAAACCTTATATTACGAAATAAATATAAATTGTTTAAGATCAATCAGTGCAGTAAGTATTACAATTATCGATGTGATATGGTATCATTTTCTATGCACATTTGCAGTTTTTTTTATTGCATCACGCAATCAAGGGTTTTCTAACGAAAGTGTTACTCATGTGTTACATGTGCTGCCCTATTTTTTTTTAGATATACACCAGACTCTAACAAAATGCAAATAATGTTGAAAAAAAAATCCATTCTCATCAATTATAAGTACATATACCTCGAACAATCTTAATTTGTTGATTTAATATTGGACAGGTGTTTGTACTGCCACCTTTTTTTAGAGAGTAGCGCCAATTTAATAGTTGCAGAATTAGTGTCACCAATGCTCCAAGTAAGGAAAGATGTAAAAATGAAAGATGCCATACTTCAAATTTATTTGCAATATTTTTACTGTGTATCATCTGACATCTTGAGTTCTGTAAGTAGCTATGGCTACATACATATGTTTATATAATGCGCACCCTGTTACACATACGTTTCTATCCCTGTGGAAAGCTTCACTTGAGCAAAAACATTTGCAATATCGTGTCGGTGTTTTTGACATGATGCGTCACTCACTGAGGATAGCATCTTTATTTTTATACGTTATGTTTAACGGGCATGCTACTAAAGCTCTTGCTAACGTTAAATTCAATCTAAACAGTGATCTATCAAACGAATTTATTAAGCTAGATCTTGGGGATGTAATATGTTGGCCCATCTATAAATACAGATGACAGGTCATTGTATGATAGCTGGAATAAAGAGGTCACTTTATCTAACAGAAAATCCCCTAAAATATTGCTCATTGTAAAGCTATAAATGGAGGACAACAATAAAGTGTATTGACCGTTGTTTATTTGTGCAAAAAAAATGTCCTATTGATTACTATATACTCTCATATAATATTCAAGAATCAGAACACTTTTAATAACGATAAAAAAATAGTTCGTTTGCTTGTATTTAAGGAATCAGAGACAGGAAAAACTTGTTGATCAGACAAAGTGGAACTTTTGTGATTTGATTTGGTCGGACTCTCGTTTACCCTCTAATAAACTTTCCGTTGATATTTTTCCAATTGCATTTATTTTTAGTCATTTTAATTGTACTATTAAGCTGCCCAACTTGGTGATCGTTTACTTTATTATTTATTTTAAGATATTATAAAAAAAGTTGCGATATCGCGAGTTCGAGGGTTATAATTGGTTTGCTTATTCAAAATTATAAAATAATGATTATGTATTATGAGTCGATTTATTCCTTAATTCCCTCTTAATTTAAAAGCGATTAAGATCAAGTTGTATGACTTATTGAAAATAAAAAATATATACATTTACTGAAACAAAGTTTGGATTTTCAACTTGATTGAAATCGATGAAGGCTGCAACTAATTCCAAGCTATCTTTTCAATAGACAAAGGACGCAGTGAAACTATGATTAAATAATCAGCAATTACTTCATTCTACCATAAACCAGCTTTCAATTACCCTATGTACCTTATACTATTTCTTTGAAGAAATCAAATATCACGAAAAAATTATGTAATGATGCGTTATCTCTTTTAAAAATAGACATGGCATAGAATCGTCGGCTATACCGCCTTTTATAAATGGATATATGCGTTCTAGTTTAGGCGGAATACGGTTTATTACGTATGGGTCTGATCATATATATATATAACTAGTATACTCTAAAAATCTAAGCTGGACATTTAGTAATTACACGCTATTACTATCATCTGTAAGTTTCAGTTTATTTTATAATGCTTGTCCTCATTGTTAAGTTTTTTTTTAATTAAAAATACTATTTCACAGCCCTATGATCCCCACCCTTTCGTCCTGTTTATTTATTGCCGTATGCAAATCTTAGTGTTTTAGTTAATGTAATATTGTCTGCAACAATGATATACCAAGAATCATATATGCTTTAATATATTCCTCAACTTCAATAAATCAAGCAGGACCGGCTCAACGTAATAAAAATAACTATGGTTACTCCAGGTTCTTTTCCTGGAAGTGGGAGCGTGTAGTTAGGCATATAATTTACGTGACTCACCGTATATGTTGCGCCGCTCAAGGCATTATCAGTTGTTTTGGTAAAAATATCATACAATCGCAGATTGTTATTATTTTTATGACCACAAGCAAGACAGATATTTAGAAAACGAGGAATTTGAAGAAAAATGCCACCCTAAGGACTTTTACTGTCCAAGATTGCTGACTTAAGACGATGATCCCCTTAAGTCATAACAGTTTTTGATAATAAATAATTTTACGTATGACTTTGGCTTCCGGTTATATGTGCTGCTAATCCTTTTGCTTTATTAGACAAGCACTGAAATTCTCCGTTTTAGCGTGACACCAAGAAATCTTAAACTGTTGGCCTGTACCACTTTATAAATAGTGTACCATTCTTACAATCTGTGATTATACATTATAGTAGGTGTATTGTTTTCTTTGGGACTTTTTTTTATGGAAACTTTATTATACAAACACTGCTGGAATAATATTTAGTAGATGTGAGTCCATAGCCAATGTCGGATATAGAGTTACAATTAATATGAAGAGGCGCAGTGAAAGTTATTTTTGGGTAGGAGCGGGTACACCAGCTCAATAGAACATAAAATTTTTGGTAGTGCCGCCTCATAAGACTGACGGTAACAAATAGCGATGATGTTTAGCATTTGAGTCTTCTAAAGTAATTGACAAGATGAACTGTAAATAGTTGAAAATAATATTGACCAATGAAAAACAAGAGATCGACACAGATCATAATCGAAATAGGGTAAAAAAGATCGTTTTATTCAAAATCAGGATACAGACAATAAATACAAATATATAAATAATAAAAGTAGATTTCAAACCATGCCCTCATATAAGTTTAGTGCTTGTAAAATTGTTGGGTCCTTCTTTGAACCTTCCTTAAACTCTTCCATGGATAATTTTCCATCCTTGTCCTAGATATAAACGTCAGCTATTTTTAATTGGGGTTTTCTTGGTTAAGCAAATTGCTTACGTTATCCATTAAATCGAAAATTTTGTTAACACGTTTCTCTGGAGTGTCTTCATCTGGTGGCAATTTAACCATGCTTCCAACCATTTTATAAATCGAATCCACTATCTGCAACATTTCATCACGAGTAATAAAACCATCATTGTCAATATCGTAAAGCTATTAATTTAAAGAAGAAGGATGAGTACAAAGGATGATATTTCCAAAGAGTTCTTTTTTTTTTTTGATTGTCCTACTTGAAATGCCCCTATAAGATAATTAATACGATGTATAAATAAAGGGGAGGGGAGGGGGGGGGGTGATATATAACTTACAATATAATTTTTCATCCACTCTTCCTCTACTTGTAATTGATAATGCGCAAATGAATTCTTTAAAATCAATCATACCATCCTTGTCACCATCAAACACGTTGAATACATAGTCTGCAAATTTTGAAGGATCGCCAAACGGGAAGAATTGTTTATAAATCTTTTGAAATTCTGTTTTATCTAATTCGCCAGAAGGACAGTCCTTTAAGAAGCCTTTATACCTAAAATAGCATATTAATTATTTAGGCTCTTTTAAATTTTCTTATTGCAAGTATTTACCATTGCTGTAATTCCTTCTTTTCAACTACAAAACAAGATGGATAAGTCAAACGATTTAAGAGTGAGCGGCTGTTACTTACAGTAAGTGCACTTTTGAAGGTCAGTGAGTTGTTCGGGACTAAGTTTACTTTGTGCTTTACCCATTTTTAATGATATATGAAGGAAAGAAAAAGAAAGAAAAATAAATAAATAAAAAATAATAAATCTCGGCTTTTATTTATACGTCACGATTGTATTTCCTAATGGGGGATGGGATAGAATTACTATAAAATGGAGCATTTATTCTTTTTCTCTTTCTTTGGTTTGACACCTTTTGGAGGAGCATGTAATCCTTCTCTTTGGGCTCTTATGGCTTTTACTACTTGATAGAAAGATCTTTCAACATTCACGCATGTTTTAGCTGAAGTCTCAATAAATTCACAAGCTAGCCTCTTTGCGGTTGCATAGCCCTCCTCTCGTGTTACTTCACGTTCGGTGACTCGATCGCATTTATTACCAACAAGCATTAACGGTACATTGTCAATGTCTTTCACTCTAAATATTTGATCACGGAATCGTTCAATTCGGTCATATGTTGAACGTGATGTAATTGAGTACACTAGTAAAAATCCTTCGCCATCTCTATACTTGATTATGTGAATTATAGCGTTAATATATCATACTGTTATATTACCTAATCCATTGATCTCGTAATGCAGTATACTCCTCTTGTCCTGCTGTATCCAACACCTCTAAAATGCAGGGTTGATCATCAATTACCACCTGCTTACGATATGAGTCTTCGATAGTAGGATCATATGTCTAGTTTACATTAGGGTGAGAAATACAATTCAAACGAAAGCATATACAAAATAATTACCTCTAAAAAGAAATTAAGTATAAAGAAAAAAAAA